GTCGGCCATTTTTATGTGTGATAACAGAACCTAAATCGAGGTAAGGCTAGGCCTAGCCTAGCAGCATTGGATAGGCTAATGTTTTCGGCACCTACGATATTTCTTCTCACGACCTATCGCAAAATCAACATGAAAAATTCATCCGCATTTATTTTTTGTGTGGAACACAAAAAATCAAATTTCAGTCTTATTTTACATTTTTTTCATTCTTAGGAATGTCTAAATTCATTTAAACTAGCAATTCCGTATTATATTTATAAATCTTTATCATTATACAAAAATTAGATTTTTCTTAAAAACTGAAATTTTGCCGGGAATGGGGCTTTAAAAAAAGGCCCCATACTTCACATTGTACAAATTTAAGCAAGGATATTCTGTAGGCCTATTATTACCTCCATGATTTAAGAAACATACAGTACAAGTAATTTCCCTATTTATCAGTGTATTACCTACAATATTAATATTTGTCAAATTCTCCAACAACAGGACATCAAACAAATCATGAAGTCAAACAGAAGTTCATTTGCATCACAATCATACTATCAAATATTTTAAATGCGGATGATACCTCAAAAACTAGCTCAAATTTGCGCAAAAAATCGTTAAGAAAATAGGTGCGCAGAATCGTAACTTACTGCATAGTGCATTGGTTATTTATTAAGATTAGGTCAAAGCCTAATTTTCGGCAAAATCAAAGAGGAAATCGGCCTTAAAAAATTTCTGAAATTTTTGTGTGGAGGATTATTCCCCGCACAGGCCTTACTACAGCCTGGCTTCACAATTTGTATAGCAAAATAAAATGGAACAAAAATAGTCAGTAAAAAGTTATTAATAATATGAACTGACCACTTCACAACCATGCTTTATAAATTACAGATTAATATTCAATTTTTTATGTGGATGATTGGAATCATGTGCGATCTAACGATGACAGACATCGTATCCATGTCCAGTCCCTCATGATGGTGTGACCGATAACAACAAATGGTGAACTACAATTGTCCTGTGGTTTCATCATCCATACCTTGTTGTTTATTTCAATACAATATATTGCTCTCTATTCAAAAGGTAGGCCTGGGATTTGATGGGTAAGATAGTTCAAGCCTATGTATAGACGAGCTGTAGACTGGTGGTAGAAATAACTTGGCAAAAGATAATACTGTACTATAAAGTGAAAAATTCGAACATAGAATGTAGTAATAGGCCTAGTAGGTAATCACACCACACGTGTCATCCCTAATCTATGACACACAGCATCTTAACTTGCATATCTAACTTCAAATATATTTCATTTACGAACAATTACACAAACATTTTGTACAACTTTAAGTATCACTATATTATAACAACTATCTGCCTATTAGTATTATAGTACATGCATGTCAGCTAGCTAGCTGACTACCTACCGATCCACACCACGCACTAACTGTCTTCAACCCCTACACAAGTGACAGATTTATTCTTCGAGACAAATCAGATCCGACTCGCTCGAAAAAGTCAACCATTTATTCCACTCAATCAAAAACAATCAAACCCACAAATCACAGCAACTACGATATAATGAACCGAAGCGAAGCTACCGTACCTTTCGCATGGCTGAAGTATTTAACGAAGGATATAAAACCATAGTAATACACGTTCCGTTTACGGACCAAGCTGAGAAGCTGTATTCTAGAATTGAGTCATTGTCTAAGGGCTTATCTATGTTCAGAGTAAGCACACCGAACCGGAAGAACATTCATTAACACAAACCATTTGTGTGCGCATGCTGGGATGAATTATTTCAATTATTTATGACGTCTAGACTGTTCCACTTACAAAATAGGTAGGCAAAAAAAAAATTAATAGTAATAATAATATATGAAGATTTCTTTACGATTATATGATTTCGATATAAAAAGTCAGATACGCACTTTACTTGCAAGTAAAGATCTGCCTTACTTAATTAAATATGAAGTTAGAAGTAAGTAAGTATGCACGAAAATCCCTTACCGCAATAGATTTGTTGGATTACCAATCAACAAACACAAAGAAACAATTTGATACCATAATTTTGCCAAAACGTCACAAACATGAAAGACATAGGCCTAATAAAAGACATGAATAAGAACAGCAAACATTCAATCATTTTTTTGAAACAGTTAAATGTTCTGAATGGAAAGAAATGAAATAACAAAAAAAAAAAAAGACCAACACGACAAAAAAAAAATAAAAATGAAAGAAGCATGGTTTGCTATTACAGACAAATAATGTATAATAGTCTCGTATTTTGTTATTTGCCTCTTCGATCTGTTTATACCTTTTTCTTTTCTAAAGTATTTCTTCTATCCAACTTGCGATTTTTTTCGCAGTTGTTTTCAAATGTACTGAGTATTCGGTACATTTCCACGTCAGGTAGGGCAAAAAAAAAATTACACCTATACATATTTCTTCTATATTATGATTTGTTGCTTAATTGTACTTTTTTTTTTTTAATTAGACCTGCTATATATAGTAATAGTATTGCGATATACAGTAGTATTATTTAGTAACAGCATTACACCATAAAGAAAGAAAATATTTCTCTATGATTACACATAATACCAGTGACCCCAAGAGGTTGAGTAGCACATGTACTAGTTATCAGTTAGATCAAAGAGCATACTCTTTGGTTGGTAATGTGAGGTATGAAATAAAACCTGCCAGAAACTGGAGCATTAATTGTTGTGTGCCTAGTTATTATATTTAGTCTGCGTACATGATACCCTGTTGTAGTACACGGTATTACACTATATTTGTACTGTTTTTGTTCAGATGGAACATCTTTCTGTGTCATGGTCTTTAGTTGTTTTAAAATCAGTACCGGTACATCCCATCAAAATAATGAAATAGGATTTTGCTCCGTATTTACTACTCTCTGAGAGTGATAGGCCTATCATGTTTTTATATATATAATTGTCAATACTATTGTTCCCCTTTAGTTCTTTATTATATTTGTGTATGTCTAAAATAATAATAATAATAATTCTGGATTTATATAGCGCCTCACGTTGACACAACCTCGAGGCGCTAAAACATTTGCTTACAATAAAACCATTCTTTTTGCATTCGTATACAGTACTGTTATGGCATATATTATTTGTAGGAAAATGTACCTATCTACATGATTTTTTTTCCGTTTCATATAATACGGAAATTTATTTACGACACTTACAATCACTTGTACACCATCTCGTACATACAAAATAAATTTCTCACTCCCCCATATTGAAAATGAAAACTTCCTATCATTCGCGAATTTGCTTCAACCAACCAAAATAATTCATAGTCACTGAAGCGTGATAAGGCGTGAATCGCTGTGTATTTTAAGCGTTGATTCGCTCTGATGAGCAGGAATTAGATACACACGCGCTACGCGTGTGACTTTTTGATGTTGCCCCAACAATATCCAAAGCCATGGTTACGCACCTTATTTCATTCTTTTGTGGCACATCATCAGAGAATGAATCACAACGTCCCACAGTGGTCTTTTACGTAAAATTGTTATTTTTTGATATAGAAAGATATTAGCCATCATGGCCTAACAAGCAAAAGGTGAGTTTAAGTCGCCCTCAGACAAGAAGGACCAGAGACCAAACGTAGTACACAGCCTAGGCCCTAGATTTAGCTCTAGCCTAGGTCCCGGACTCGTGGGCATAAAACCATGTTGGAGGAGTCATTTTCTTGTTCTTTCTCCCTGCATGTTTTTTGTGGAAGGTCTGTGGTCAGACTCAGATACCGCGGGACACTGTATACAACAAGTCGAGTCCGCTTTGTTAAAAGGGGATTTCCCGGACTCATTGACCAGAAGTAGATCACAACAATCAGTATGTTTAATGTCTACATCAAATTTGTACAGGCCTGCTATTACTATTATCCTATTATTAGATTTTCTTTTATTATTTGACTTATTCGACTGGTTCATTTCGTTGAGTACGAATTTTCGTTAAGTATTATTTTCATTCGACTGGTTCGTTAAATAGACTTCGTTGACAAAGAAAATTAATGTAAACCCAAAAAAATACATGGCCGATTGATGAGTTTATAAACAACATTTGCGTTAATATAATTTAGATTAAATTTCATAAAATAAAAATTATAATATTTACCCACATGGAGTCAAAAAATAATTGTAGGCTAACAGAATTAAAAAAACTGGATGAAAATATTTTTTTTACGAAAAACACATACTACCACAAGTTGAAGCAATCTTGATTACGTGTATCGCGGTAACTATACAGCCATTTTGTTTTGTCGAGTATTTACCAGTTTTCTATTCGACTGGTCGTCTTCGTTGAGTAGGATTTTACGACTGCGCAGGTGGGCGTGGTTTAACGAAGAATGACCAGTCGCATGTGGCCATTGTTTTATGGTAGACCACAGTGTCCCCTGACTAATTGTTTATTGATTGGTGAATTCATTTGATTGGTGAATTCATTTGATTGGTCAATTCATTTGGTTGGTCAAATTGGTTTGATTGATTGCTTTGCTAATTGACTGATTAAGCTACCATAAACCTCAAATCCAGGGCTTCTTTTTATTTTTGGCGAACTTCAGATGGGCTAAGCCCATTGGGCTTCTAATCAAGGTTTTACGGTTTTTTACTGATTGATTGGTTAATCTGGGTGTTTGATGATTGATTGATTGACAACTGATCAACTAATTGGCTACTAATTTATAGGTAGATCAGTTCTGTTAAATATTTGTTTGATTTTCTTAATTGACCGTACCAGTTAACTGTTGATTTATTGAGTGATCAATTGATATAGTTAGTCAGTTTGTTGGGTCAATTCCTGGGTCAGTCTTGTTAATTGATTGATTAATGATTGATTGGTTTGTTGGTTAGATTGTCAAAATTCATTGGAAAATCATATCGATTGACTAAATGGAATGCTTATTACAATTTTTTTTTAATTTAAATTTTGCATGAATATATGAAGATGTCGAATAAAGAGGAGATGAATGTCCAGAAAGTAGGAAGCTACCATTTTGAAGTTGATAAAGACGTCAGAGAGATCTTTCAAAGCATTGATCTCGAACAAAGACGAAGAATCCAAGAAAATGCGCAAACACAACTTGCAGTAATACATGATAGAGTTAAAAAGGTAATTTTGATAACGCAATTAATTATTTGGCAGAAAAACAATAGGCTTTAGTTTTGGCTTTAGTGAAAACTATAAATAAGTGTAGCTATATGTTATAGTTGTTTTTTCTAACCCTTGTTAATGATAAACACAATTATATTATTGCTTTGATAACATGGCCGGCGGAAGCGGGGGGCCCCGGGCCCCCCCACTTTTTGGCGAAAAATATATAATGTCTGGAGATTTTTGTATGATCGGAAATGCAAAAAAAGAAGGAGGGAAGAAGGAGGAGAAGGATGGGAAACAGAATGTTTATCCAATACCCGACCGAGTTACATTTTCTTGCAATTCATATTGGCGGATCTGGGGGAGGGGGGTCATTGGTCCTTACCCCTCCCTTGGGCAACAAAAAAAGGGCAAAAAGAAAAGAATTCTAGACCTACTTTTTCAGGACCCGTGAGCTGATTTCTTTTTTTTTCTTTTTTTTTTTTTTTGCTATTAGAAAATTCGAATTTTGAAGAACATAAAATTCATTAAAACAATTATGTCGGGAAAGCTCAATTCCCGCCATCTAGGAATCAAAATTTTCCCTGGGGAGAACCCCCGGACCACCCTTTCTTTTGGGATTGATCGATTCATGGAAAAAAGAATACGCATGCAACTACTCATTTGTTTATGTATGTATACACACATAAAATAAAAAATGAGAAAAATTTACCTGACCTATTTCAAGAGGGGAAAACCCTCAAAAAAATTTGAAGAGCTTTAAAAGTCATTAAAAGACATTTTAGAAGTCAGGAAAGCTCATCTCCCGCCATCTAGAAATCGAAATATTTCCGGGGGAAACCCGGACCACCTTTATCTTTGGAGTTCATTGATTAATTGAATCATTTTCAAGGGGTGGGGGAACCTTGAATTTTGAAGAATTTAAAAGTCATTAAAAGACACCACAGAAGTCGGAAAAGCTCATTTCCCGCCACCTAGGAATCAAAATTTTCCCGGGGAAGAACCACAGGACCTCCCCCCCCCCTTTCTTTTTGGGATTTATTGATTCATGGAAAAACTACGTATGCAACTTATTCAATCTTTTTTTATGTATGTATACACACATAAGGCCTAATTACTGTAATAACAATGGGAAAAAATTATCTGTGTTCACCTCTTGAAAATTATTATGATGAATTAATGAACCCAGAGAAAGGGAGGTTCGGAAAATGTTGATTTCTAAATGGTGGACAAGTATTTTTTAATGACAAGGAGAAAATATCTATCTGTGGAAAATCTTTCCCCATTGAATGCCCTTTTCACCCGGGAAAGTGCCTGAAAATCTCAAATTTTAAATCGCATATTTTGTTGAGGTAGGCCAGTTTCCTCTAAAAAATTGCACAGTTTTTGATCAATTCTGACGAAATTAGAATTAAAAAAACAAAAATTTTTCGCGCACTTCGCATGCATTTTTTGATGTTAAAGCTTCTGCTTGCTTTCCTTTGCCTTCTAAGTTATAACACATAGTCCCAAACTCAAGAAAGAAAATTTAAGATAGATCGTTTTACCTAAAAGAAGGGCCTCAATGTGTAATGATGTTGAAAGAATATGTTTGTAATAAATAAAGCCATAAGGAAAATGCTTATATTCAGTTTAAAAAACCAGTGTGGCCATATTTAACATAGGAGCATTTCTTGTTGAGGTAGGCCAATTTCCTCTAAAAATTACACATTTTAGGGAGTTTTGATCAATTCCGATGAAATTAGAATTAAAAAAACACAATTTTTTTTCTGCTTGCTCTCCTTTGCCTTTAAGTTATAACACATAGTCCCAAACTCAAGAAAGAAAATTTAAGATAGATCGTTTTACCTAAAAGAAGGGCCTCAATGTGTAATGATGTTGAAAGAATATGTTTGTAATAAATAAAGCCATAAGGAAAATGCTTATATTCAGTTTAAAAAACCAGTGTGGCCATATATAACATAGGAGCATTTCTTGTTGAGGTAGGCCAATTTCCTTTAAAAATTGCACATTTTAGGGAGTTTTGATCAATTCCGACAAAATTAGAATTAAAAACACAAAAATTTTTCGCGCGCTGCGCACGCATTTCTTTGACTTACAGCTTGTGCTTGCCCTCCTTTGCCTTCCAAGTTATTTTAAAACATAATAGTCCCAAACCCAAGAAAGAGAATTTGAGATAATCGTTTTACCTAAAAGAAGGGTCTCAATGTGTTACGATGGTGAAAGAATAGGCCTATGATTGTAATAAATAAAACCACGATGAAAATGCTTATATTTAGTTTCAAACACACGTGTGTGGCCTATATTAATAATAAATTAAGCCCTGGGTGGTGTGTGGTGGGGTATCACACCAAGCATCTAGATGAAGTCATAAATTACTAACCGGGAAAATTATTACCTTTGCCGCCCCCCCCCCCCATCCCAAGACCCCTGTTACGCGCCTGCTTATAAGTGGGGCCTCCCCCACTTTGAAAAACGTTCGCCGGCCCTGGATAAAATTTGATTTTGATGAAAGATGATGATAATGATGCTGGTGATGATGATAATGGTATGTGTAATGATGACAACAATTATGATGTAGTGATGGTGATAATAATATGGTGGTGTTGATAATTAGTTGAATATGATGGTGATGAACGTTAAGATGATGATATGATGATTAAAAGATAAGATGATGATGGAGTTGGTAATATGATGAACATCATGATGAGTAGGAAGAACAATGATGATGATGATTGATGTTTGATAATGACAAAGATGACAGTAATTGATGATGGTGATGATGACATTTATGATGATCTGATATTTGATGGTGATAATATGATTCATTTTTTTATATTTATGTTAATTTTTGTCTTTCAGGCTCTTGCTCATTATGGTATCAATACCAACATTCTTGCCACACCATCTGAAGTGAGTCATAATTTCAATTATTTAATCTGTAACAACATTTGGCTTTACTGTATATTATCACAATGGTTGTGGCTCGGTCTTCCGACCTAGAGGTTGGCAAGACCAGTGCCACCGAGAGGGTGCAGGGGGAAAGATCCTTGGGGCCCAAGCTTATCAGGGGCCCATAGAAATTGCAGGTAGCATTGTTTTTTTTTTCAATATATTTTTAAAGGCCCCTCCAGATTGACAGAAAAAAAAACAAAACAATTGTTTTCCCTTTGGCACAATCTTTCTCGCACTTCGCGCTTGTAACTTGGGGAACCACACCAACCCTTGCCCCTGTTACAATTTTCCCCTCTTGGCAGCCCTGGGCAAAACACGTTATCAACGTTTTTCCTCTCTCTACCCAAGAGTTACAATTTTCTCCTATTGGTGCCTGCCCTGGGCAAAACACGTTATCAACGTTTTTCCTCTCTCTACCCAAGAGTTACAATTTTCTCCTATTGGCTGCCCTGGGCAAAACACGTTATTTGCGTTTTTCCTCTCTCTACCCAAAAGTAGATGTGGGTACTGGCAAACGCTGGGAAGGTAAACATACTCGTTGTCAGGGGGACTGACAATCCCCCACAACATTGAAAAGTAGCCAAAGAAAGAAAGATTGGTAGAGCATTTGGTTTCGACTATACCTTAGCTCATTCCCACTGATCTGTATGGAGAGTAGGCCTTAGTGTCCCATAAGGATTAAAGCAGCTTCATTATATTGTTATTTGATTTCACAGATTGCAATGGAGGAACTTCGTCAGAGGAGACCACCCGGATTCAACACAAAACAGAAACGAGAAGAAGTATGTTAATAAAAAAATACACAGTAGGTTTTGTGTTTCTCTGGTGATGGACATTTTGAGGTTGGGTGAACTTTAAATAATAAGAGTGGATTTTAAGGATGGGCAAAGGGGATAATAAAGGTGGGTGGAGGGTGCAGCCATGAAATTAGCTTAAGACTGGGTGGAAAACTTCAAGACTGGGGCAGTGGTGGCGCCAGAGGGGGGCTGGGGTGCTATAGCCCCTCATAGGGGAAGCCCCGTCAGTAGAGAATTCAAATGTCCCTCCCCCCGTTTGAAAAAATCTGGATCCGCCCCTGTTCAATGGGACTAATTAAAATGGTTTACGTTCTACTCGTTCTACTGTGAAAAATGCTCGTTTGAATATACTCATGATGCTTGGAATACATCTTGATCGGGGAATTTTTCAGGCAAAAATTCCAAAATTTATAACTTCACTTTGAATTAAAAGCTTGTACTGTGACGTTCCCGGTGACATTGTGCTTTCTTAATTTATCGTAGTATAATGTCACAAATTGGTGACCTTACAATGTACAGTAAGACATTATTCTTATTTGTAATTTTGTTTTTTAAAAATCACAATCACAAGGATTATAAAAAACCTTTTCGCCATGATGGGAGGATAGTAGTGTACTGTAATACGTTAATTTTTTTTTTATAATATAAAATGCAAAACGGATTTGAAAATAAGTACATTGCTTACTCTTTGTTTCTCGTTGTTTTATTCAAAAATATTTGGTTTGGAAGTTAGTTTCGACATTAAAAAACATACAAGTCATATTACGGTAGCTTGATGCCTATCAAATAACTATTAAAAATTAAACGACACAACAGTGGTTACATCGTTGTAACAATGGTTACTGAATTATTGCAACAGTGGTTGATTTCTGTTACAATAGTGGTTAATGTTACAACAGTAGTTGATTTTTGTTACAACAGTGGTTAATGTTACATTAGTGGTTGAATCTCCGGGGTGATGATTGTGACAAAACCAATCAAAGTATAGTGACCCAGGTCTTCAATCACAAGTATTTTGATGATGGTAATGATGATACACTAATAAATGAAGTGAGAGCATAATATTAATCTGCATTTTTTCTAAAAATTCAGATGTTACATAAGCGTACAATCTTGGACACTATCCACGAGTATGGTCAGACCTGTCTACGTCGAGAAATGCTGATAGATGAGTTTAGTGACTGGATGTATGATGTACAGACAACTGTGGTAATTGTCTATCTGTTCCATTCATTTTGATAGTCTTTTAGATACTACATCAATATAATGACAATAATAACTAGAACAGTCACTCCATAGAGTCATACCTCTGCCCTGTACCTGAATACCGAACAATACGCAGGCCGTATGTAAAAGTCCCATCCTGGGCTTTTGCCCAAGGAAAGGCTACTACATAAAATTGGGAATAAAGTAGGGGATGGGCTTATTATACCCAAGGTTGGCCTATACCTGAGGAACTACTGTATAATTATTTATTTATTTATTATTTATTATTTTCCCGTAATGATGTTTTTGTGTTGTCTTGATGTTTCGTACAGTACTCTCTTAAAAGAATCTGTAGTGTACAAAAAACAATTTCTATGTATTTTTAATGTATATTGGACAAAATAAATGCTGTGGATAGCAGCGCATTCATTATACAAATAATGATTGTTTATGAGTGCAATGGGAAGGATATGTTCATGAGTTGAAAGATTGACTTCCATTTAACAAGACAGAGCAAAGTGAAAAAAAAATATGGTCTACCTTTCTTCTGAATGGAACAGTTCATATTCTTTGAACCAATGAAAACATTGTATAAGGAAACATAAAATTCACAGATGGAACTAAATTTTCATGATAAGTGACGAAATGGTGTCAGTAGCCAATGTCACATGATACAAAATCCACCAATCAAATGACAAAGATATATTTAGGTGTGTTATAAATTATAATCATTATCATCATCATTATTATTATATAATAATAATAATAATAATAATAATTATTATTATTATTATAAATTATAATCATTATCATCATCATTATTATATAATAATAATAATAATTATTATTATTATTATTATTGTTACTTTAATATATATTTTTTCATTCATATGATAATGTATTAAAATTGTTTGATTTTTTTAAAAATATTTTTGCAGGAAAAAATAATCGTTAGTGATGAAGAAATAATAAAGAAGAATAATGAAGTAACATTAATGGAAAGAAGTATTATGTAAGAAGTAATATACTACTGTATATTCTGACATATAAGACAAGTCTTTAAATAGCAAATTGCGATCGAAAACAGCGGGTCATCTTTATACGGAAAACATTCAAACTTTTTGATTTTTAAAATCATGTTTGGCTTATGTGTGATTCATCTGTAATGCGCAAATTTACTAGAGAAATGAAGCCTGACCTTCGACTTAATATGGTAATTAGAATGCTAAATGCAGGCTTGGTCCCAGTGGATGGTATCGAAAATCTTGTCAAACTCGGGGTTCGTCTTATACACGGATCGCCTTATATGCAAGAATATACAGTACATTTTAAAAATATGTTTATCTCAAGTGATTAAGAAATTATAGGTACAGTATTTTGAAATAATCTACTTTGTAGTTTCAACTGTGCATGCCCATATCAAAGGTCAATCGACATTAACAAGCGGCCCCACCACAGTTAGAGCTGATGTGAGCAAATTTCATAAATGAATGGGAATAAAAAAAATTAAATATCTTTGATTGATTCATGAGAAAATCAGACTATTTACATAACAAATTCACACATCGTTTATTTTTGAGTAAATGCAAGCCCACAGTCCGTTTTTTAGACGTGGTCCGAGGATTGAGAATTCCCACAGCCATTACCATAATGTTGTGGTAGTTTGTGGATGCCGCACACTTTGACCCTCTTTAAATTTTCGTGCAGTGTTGCTGTGAACGACCATAAGAAACATGTCAAGAAAATTGTAGAGAAGTTCAAAGTACTTAGCAGAGAAATGTTTGAGACTATGAATGAACTAGCCACGATGGAACATGAAGAGTAAGTAAAATTAAGTTTATATAATTAAGAAAATATAATTGATAGAATACTGTAATTCATACCCTGTATAATTGTGTTTTACTCTTTGAAGTTCCAAAAATATATTTATATCATAAATAAAATATAATAATAAAGTATTTAACATGTATGTTTTATTGAGTTTTGCCAATAAAAGTTTTTAAACTCTGACATGTATGATGTCTATAATTTACATCAATTATTACAAGAGATGCTATATTAAATTCGTTAAATCGTCCTTCAAGTTATTTCTACACATTTGAGACATGATCTACACACATACTGTGACGATTTGGAATGGTCTGCCTAATTCTCTCAGATCTTGTGCTTCGGTTAGGCAGTTCAAAGGCCATCTTAAAACACCTTTTTCAATAGTTCTCTCACCTTTCTCAATCGTATTTGTTTATTGTTTTGTTTGTTTTCTTATTTTTCTACTGCTTAATTGCATTAGTCAAGTTAGCTCAATTTGCATGGGTTTGGTTCTATGCCTGTCTCTTATACACATCTAGATGTGTATAAGAGACAGGCGCTGGACATCTGGATCTGCCCCTGCAAGCTTTACTCTGGGGAGATGTTTTTGATTTATTGTGGAGAGTCGCTTACAGCACTTCGTAACTGAAAAGAAAGGCCCTATACAAGTAACAAGTAACAAAATTAACACATTCTAACAGTTAGCAACTTATCAACTTGTGATCAATTGTAAAATTTGTAAAATTAAAGAAAATTATATAAAAAAAATTCCAAGCTTATTATACTTAATATTGCAATTCATTTTCAATTGGCTGCTATTATAATTTATTATTATTGATTGTGATTGATTATTATATTCCTTGTTTTCTGTTTTTACATTGTCCCTTTCAGTTTTTACATTAATCATACTGAAGATAAATATATCTGTTTCTTGTGAAATTGATTTTTTGTGATGTTTCTTGTCTGTTTTTTTTTGTGATGTTTCTTGCCTGATCAGCCCATCTATTAGAAAGCTGTAAATATTTGAGTAAATAAATACATATTGTATTTTAAAAGATAACATTGTTGAAAAAGAAAAGAAAAACATAAATAAATTCATGATAGGTATGAAATTTGTAACCATCATTGCTGTAATGATAAATTGTAATTTCTGACTTAAGATTTTGAATTGATTATGATCAGGGTTTGTCTAATTTTGATGTATTCCTAGGGTTGAACCAGAAACTGTAGATCTGACAGAGGCGGTCAGTGCGACAACGCGTAGAAGAAACGCGGTCAGGTCAAGGGCTAAGGATAATAAGGACCCATTAAATGGTAGGTCACATAGGCAAGGGGATCACTGCTATTAAAAACCATTTTTACTATTTCCAGGCATTTATAAGTGCCTGTTTCAAAGATTTGCTCCAAACATGGGCTGAGGTGAATTGGGACCCCTGTCAAGAAAATTCCTCTCAGAACTTTTTACTGTCTATCGGGGACCTTGGACCGTTTGTCAGAAAATTGTCAGTGCCCAACTGTTAAGTCAAAATAGTGGTAAGTTGAACCAATGTGGATTTAGGCGGTGAAGCAGAGAGCAATCTCTGTTTCTGCTCTTTACAAATGTCACGGTCACCCCAGCATCTGAAATCAAGATTTAAAAAAACGAAATTTAGCAGAAAACTAAAGCACTGTTTTGAATTGCAAGATATATTTTTTTGGAATAAATAATAATATTAATTACTGTATAATAATAATAATGATAATTATAATAATAATAATAATAGTAATAATAATATGGAATGATCATAAAGATAATACTTAAAATAATAATAATAATAATAGTAAGGATAATGATGTTTATCATGAAATTAATAATAATAATGATAATGATGATGAAATGATGTGGTAAATGAAAAAAAGTAATTAGAATCTTACCAATGATGGTTTATATTAGAGTAAAGCAGGGGTGGGCATAAAAATTGGTCGGAGGGCCAAAGTGAATTTTTGATTTAACACAAAGGGCTGCATCCAAACTTTGATGTTTCCAGTGTGCTTCCCAAAACCTCCAAGCACTGCTTTTACATTACTTTATTCTCAGTTTTAATGTTGCTTTTTACATAGGGCTTTTAATTCATTTTCGCAGACCGCAAAAAATTGCTGTAGGGCCGCACTTTGACCACCTGTGGAGTTTATTTTTAAATAAATTAATTAGAATTTGATATTTGTCACACTTGATTAATTAGTTTTTAATTGCAATATAAATATTTCTTAATGTTATTGATTTTATTTTAGAAAAAGCGTTGATGGCTGATGCTGCTAATTGGAAAGCTGCGTCAGTTGAAGTTAAGAAAGCGTTAGAAGAGGCGGGGCGAATGGCCAAGACAAATAACGACAGAAATAGTAAGTAGGGTAACAGGTCAGATGGCCAGGTCACATGGTCAGAAAAAAAGTGTCCATTGACCATGAAAAATATTGACAAATGGTATGCTTTAAACTGACAGGCATTTTTATTTTAACATGGTTTTTTTTTTATTTCAGTGTGTCGGAATGCTTTAAAGCAGTTCAATTTCATGTGTGTTGCAATGGAGAGACGAAACCAAGAGAACTGTGTTCTTAGTCAAAACATTTTGGAGCTTGAAGTATGAAACAAATTGATTTGCAGAACCAATAACAACATATTTCTAAAAAGCATAACATGAATTATCCATAATACTACTAATTCTAATCATAATGAAGAAACAATTTAATTAATGGAGAAATAATTTATTTACCATTCATTCAGAAGTCTTCAAAAATTACGAGTGTCAATGGATTAACATTTCATAAAAAAATCTATTTAAGGTCAATGTTAACCATCTCAATAAAGCAACTGAGCGAGCTGATGAAGAACTAAAGAAGAAGACACTACGGCTGGAGTCGATGGAGAAGTTCACTGAGAAACAAAATCAGAAGATTGTAAGCAATTGTATTTGTGTAATAGCTTCAGTGTGACAGAAAAAAGTTTTGAAATAAAAGCCCACTTTGAGAAATTTTGTAAGTTTGTAAAGAGGGAGGCACTTGGGCTTGCATTTATGTATGTATTAAGTTTTTGCAAGTAGACATTTTTATATAGATATATGTATATGTATATATAAATACTTTTATATTAATAATATTAATTTTGGATGATAGAAAAAAATGTGAGCCCAAATATCTGAAAACCTTGCTATTTAGATCAAAGCGTGTGGGAGGTGATGGCCTATCTAAATATGCTATAACACAATTTCTCTCAACATGAAAGTACAGTACAAAAGATTAAAATACATAATAATTGTAACTCCATATATATCAGCCTATTGGCTGACAAGATTGCATTTACATTTACTCTAATATTTTATTGCTGTTACAGATACACAAATGTATAATAGATACATTATTTACATATATTGAGGGATATAGCTAATAAATTTCTTTCTTGACAACTCATCAATATTGCTCATTGAAATTCGGAAGTATTTGCATTTTTTATAATAATGGAATGATGTATATGGTATATATTGAAATCTAATTTAACTAGATAGTGTCAGGGGAATAGAGTCTGCCTCATGACTTTATTTTATATGTTTTATATGACGATAAATATTTCTTTTCTCTCAGAGGAACAATATGAGTTTCTCTTCAAGGTATACCACATTTGGCTTCATTTTATTTATTTTATTTATATTTCTTTGGTTGGGATGGGGTGGCGTTTGGATGTGGGCGAACCATCTGTTACTTCCATTAAACCATACTTTCCCGAAATAATCCGCTTGATATACTTGGACTGTTTCATTTTTTTACAGGCTGAACTGAAGCAAAAATTAAAGGAATTAAAGGAAAGTTACGAAAAAGTCCTTGCAGCTTTAAAAAAGGCACAAGAAAAGGAGAAACAGTTACTAAATGAGGGGGAAAAGGCTAACGATCAGAAAGGTAAGACTTTTATTGTATGCAAAGCTGGGTACTCACTATAAGTGACGGCAACGTGACGACGGACGCACGCGATGGCGCGGAACCAACGGATTGCTTTTTTAATGAGGATCTGTTCAGACTGCCACTGACAATCACCAGACTGCGTTACGTCGTCTATCGCTCATCGGAGGCACAGGTGGATTCGTTGTGCGACGGTTGTACAACACAGTGAGTGCTTGACTTTAGAGATATTGCTCTTGTAATACATACCTTGCTATCCAGGATTCCACTGAGCTTGCACAAACAGCTTTCTGTATTCTTTAAGTGTAAATCTGAAAAATTATTTATATGGTGAACCATACATTTATACATGTCCCCTTGAATATCCATACCTACAAGTACTTATGTTTTTGATATTAAAAGTTTATTTAGATACTGTTTACATTTTTAATGGTGATCATTAGAAATTTTACAAACAAAAGAAAAACAATAACAAAAAAATCCTGCAAATTTTTTAAATATTATGATATTAATATTATCATAACAAATTAATTAAACTTCTGGTACACCATGTGTAATAATATATGGCAAAGAAAAACCAAACCAGTCACTCGTCGCAAAAATCAATTTTTAGTTATTAATACAGGGTTAAAAAATAAAACGAGAGATATAAAATGGTAAAAGAATCAATTAAATCTGACATTTTATTATGAAGTTACAGGAGTTTAAACATACAGCTGTTTAAAGAACAGTAATTGAGAAATCAATCTTTAAAAGTTATGATTTCGGGCATTTTTCAGGCAGAAACCATCACCAAATCATTAAAAGTTTTTGGTTTAACATTGTAAATGGGGAAAATAGCAGCATAGCATGATATAGTGGATAACAGTGGATCACAGACTATCACCATCTTTATTTGAGACCAACACCAGAACTCACTTTTCTCATTCTCCTGATGATGGCCAGAGCAATCATATAATTTATTAAAACAATTTTACATCGCTGTCTTCATTCTGCTGTAGATAAAAAAGCAGCAGAAGAGTTGAGAATCTTTGAAGATAGAATGTCCCAAATTATTGCAACAATGACAAAAGAGATTGAAGAACTACGTGCCGTTATCCAAGAACATGAGGTGAGTGTAATTTGCATGGTGTAGGTCTTGGAGATACATATTTACAAACAGAATGTCAACAAAAATGCACTAAACCCCAAGACAACCAATCATTCAACCTACTTGAATTTAACCAATAAATGTATTTACTGTAGAAAGAGGTAAAATATTATTTCATTCAATATGATTTTCTGTTCTGTTTACTTTTTAGGATACCATTGAGAAGTTGAAAGTAGTCATAGAAAACTTAGAGAGGCAATTAGATAATGCATTAGGTTAGTGCGGTGTTAGAAATAGATCATTCCATTGTTTAAAAAATAAATAAATCTACTGCATAGTGAATCACCTCGTGCGCTCTCAGACTTCAGTATAAAGTGCTATATAAATCCAACTATGTTACATTATTAATATAATCATATTCAGCAGGACTATATTTATATAAAATCTTGCATATATTTTTGGCTGTCTAAGATCTTTAAAATATCTTTTTTAGACAAGCAACACGAGTATGAGAAACAGTTGAACATAACAGTTCAGGACACCGAGGCAAAAAACAGTCGACAGGAGTCATTACGTGAGCAGTACACGCAACGCATCAATGACTACAGAGCTGAAGTAACTATTTCCTTTAATAATATTTTTTTGTAATTATTAAGTTTACTGTTGTTTATTCATTGATGCATGAGGTTTTGGCACCCGAGAAAACCACCAATCGTTAAATTGCTTTACTGCCGGTGTAACTAGCCAATGCCCTATTGTTGCGGAGGGAGCTACAGATTCTTGAAGAAGACTCGATAAACCAAATAATAAAGATATTTACACTCTCCTGGACAGTTTTGTTCATCTTTTACTGTCATTGTTTCATAAACAACATAGAATATAGTTCTGCTGTTACAATACAAACAAGTTGTCCTGTTGGTTGGTTTCGGCCTGGAGAGGGGGGATGGTGTTGCGAAAATTGAGATTGCGGAACAAAATCTCTATTCTAATGAAAACTTAATAATCACTTATAGTATTTTAAACCACTTAGTGCAACTATTTTCCTGCTGGGAAGGGGTTGTCCACACTCCCTGCAGCCTCCAACCTATATACATGAACCATCTTAAAATATAAATTACTAAGGGTTTTATTTGCTAGTAATAATAAAGAATACCATGTTTATTCAAATATGATAGAGGGCAAGTAAAAGTATATTTCATTTAATTTTTGTTTTTGTTCATAGATTGATAAATTGGAGGAAGATATTCGCAAATTACAAAGTGAATTGCAGACCAAGGTTGACATGATAAGTGTTCTTGTAAGAACAAGCTTTTGTCATTTAAATTTCAGCAATTTGGTGATAAAATATACTTTTCTAAAACATAATAATGATTCAAATTCATAAATTTATGTATATATAAATATTATTATATAAATATATTATATTTGTTTTTGTTACTAGTTTGCATTAATATTATGACACAGTCAGTAATCCATATTTTTAACAGTAGTGTTATTTATATATTCTAAAATTATATATTATTTTATTTTATTGTTATTATTCCTGTTGTTGTTGTTGATGAAAATATTATCACTTATATAATGTTTATTATTGTTTTATTATTAAAACTTTATTAGTAGAACATTCTTAACCCTATTGACATTTGTTTTTGAAAGTAATATACTGCAAAATGTATCAAATATAATTTTTAGTATGATAAGGAAGTTTTGACTTTTTTTATTTAGGAACTGAAAGTAACGGAGCTAACTGCAGAGTTAAAGAAACGTTCAGTTGCTGCTGCCTTGCCATCACCAATTGAAACGGCAGCAGCTCCAAATTCCCCGACTGACTACCGTCACATGGTGTCGCGTATAAAAGCCGAGTATGAGTTGGAAATACATAAACTTCAAGACCATTTGAGTAAGGAGAAGCAGAGGTATGTTATAATTTTTGTATTACCAAGATGGCTCTTCAGTTTTATATGTTTTTAATATCGGAGGATAGGAGTATATTTGGTGAGAATCACACCAAGGATAACCCACAAAGTCCGAAGACTTGTTTCCAGTGGGGTCCTTCTGTTGGTGAATTTGACAGCACACTTGGAGACAATCTCCTACCTTACCGATGAGTGTACGGCGTTCTTTTACTTGCACATGGGCTATATTGCACACAGAACCAACAGCTTAAAACGTCTCATCCGAAAGACGGTGCGCTATCATAACTTGTATTTTAGCCCTCCAGCTGAAACACATAGAGAGCAGCGATGGGAATTGAACCGGGGACCTAGAGATCTCCACAGTTCAGCGCACACACAGTGGCTACCACCAGTTCAGCTGACTGAGCTAAGCTGCTCTCTCTCATCTTGATTCTTCCCATTTGGGACGCCTGACATGGTTAAGAATTAACTTCAGTAGGGAATGAGTTTGTGTCTTCCATTTGCAGGAGTACTCGGTCAGAATCCTGTAAAACAGCACACTTTTTCTGTTTCTTACAGTAGTAAACACATGTTTACTCCTAGGAATTGTATGGTAGCCAGTGAAGGGCTGGCTCAAAGATATTTATAATAACTTGCTAATCATAGATTTACAAATATTTCCCTACTGAAGTTCAAAATCTTTCCATATCAGAGGTCCCAATTGGGAAGAATCAGGATACAGGAGATCTGTTAAAATGAGCTTTCTTAACAATGTAATTGTATTTTGCTATGTATGGTGATTTCCCATTCACACTGACAGCAGGGAAACAATTGATAATAAAGTAGTAAAGTATGCAAATACACGTGAACCTGCAGGAGATGGGTTATTTTCCGGGAGATTCTTGCATGCGGAAGTGCAGAAGGCATAACCGATTTTTGGGAAAAGTGAGACCGCTGCCATGTGAAAGTATAGTTTATACAGGAGGTGGTTGATTAATAATTTTAAAAACAATATCCAATATTTATTTTAATATTTTGACGAAGTTTTAGGATTATGCCTGTTTGGTGGCACGTTAAGGCATAAATTGGGGTTACTCTCACTCATGTGATACACCACAGTTTTTGGCAAAGGCTGGGGTGTACATTTTAACTTTTTCTAAAGCTATCAATGATACATAAAATTGATTAGCATGATTGTGTAACCAGTATACTTTTTAATTTCAAGATGTGATGCTACATTAAGGAAGCAAGAACAGGATATGAAGGTGCAACTGGCAGGCATTCATCGTGTTAGCTTACACCTACTGCGTGCAATCAACCATTTCAAAGACAGCTTAGTCAATATTTTTGAAAAAGAAGGTAACATTTTTTTTTTTTACCTGTCAATTGATTTCTGTTTAAAAATGGATAGATGGATGGACCTATTCAGATGAAGGTAACCCACAAAAGTTTGAAGAAGACATAACTTTCAGTGGAGTCCTTCTGGTGGTGATTAGGCAGTACACTGGGAGACAATTCCCTACTCTTTTCAAAAAAGGGTTTCGTGCACTTGGGCCATAATGCATGTGGGACCAATGGCATAAACATCATCTGAAAGATGGTGTGCTGTTGTAACAAGCATTTCAGTCCTCCAGCTAAAACACAAGGATAGCAACAATGAAAATTGAACTGGAAACCAAAAGTGTAATTGAAACATTCATAAGAAGGGGAAGAAGTTACATGTTCATTGTTTTCTCCTCTGAATCCGCTAACATGAATTAGCCTTTCTGTTTACCAAACAGTGTATATTGAAACAGTAAACTTATAGTTGTATGTAAGCCTGTTCGTTTTATAATAGATATATTTTTTTGTGTGGATTGCAAATGGTCATCTAACACTTCATGATTTTCAATATTTGACAAGGTCTGCTGGATTTGGCACACGAAGTGAAATTGCAACACAATCTACCAGTTGATGAAGTAAGTATCTCCGCAACTGTCTCATATTATAATTCGAGAAGATACACTGAAAGTACAACTCCCTAAAATTTATGAAATGATTTAATTTCAGAAGCCAACAGACACAAAAATCAAGCTAAATATGATGTCAGGAAATGCATTAGAATGTAAGTAGCATGTAGCAATAGAAAATGCATTTGAATATAAGATGTGGCAATAGACAATTGCTAGAATGTAAGTAGCATGTAGCAATAGACAGTGCATTAAAATGTAAGTAGCATGTAGCAATATAGACAATGCATTAGAAGGTAAGTAGCATGTAGTAATAGACAATGAATTAGAATGTAAGTAGCATGTAGTAATAGACAATGAATTAGAATGTAAGTAGCATGTAGCAATAGACATTGCATAGAATGTAAGTAGCATGTAGTAATAGACAATGAATTAGAATGTAAGTAGCATGTAGCAATAGTTGGAATGTAAGTAGCATGTAGCAATAGACAGTGTATAGAATGTATGTAGCATGTAGCAATAGACAATGCATTAGAATGTAAGTAGCATGTAGTAATAGACAATGAATTAAAATGTAAGTAGCATGTAGCAATAGTTGGAATGTAAGTAGCATGTAGCAATAGTTGGAATGTAAGTAGCATGTAGCAATAGACAGTGTATAGAATGTAAGTAGCATGTAGCAATAGACATTGCATAGAATGTAAGTAGCATGTAGCAATAGACAATGGATTAGTATGTACTGTAAGTAGTATGTAGCAATATATAATTCATTAAGTAGCATGTTGGACGATGCGGTAAGTAACATAAAACAATGGACAATACATTATTAGAATATAATTATAATAACAGACAGTGTTCTCAGTCAATGACAGTCGGATGTTTCAGCCACAGAATAGCAAATACCATCTACTTTAGGCCTAGAAAGGAATGCATTACCGTACATTGTATGTAAAATGAGGAATTGTATGTAAAATGAGGCATCAGGTAGGCAATATATCAGAAAGTATACAGCGCAACTTGTGAAAATGCGTTTGATGAATATAAACTTAGTAACCAAAATAATAGCCAATAAATAATAGAATGTAATTAGTGCAGGCAACAGACAATGAAAAAAAGAAATACAGTACACCATGCTGGCAAGTTTAAATGCAACAAAAATCTTATGGATGTGTTAACGTTTTCTTGATTTCAGTGCTTGTATCATTAGAAATAAAGATTTCTCAAGCATTGATGAACAAGGTAAATAAACCCATAACTTTTACAATTTAATATCTTTACTTAAACCATCTAATTTCCTTTAAAAAATAATATATGTTCTTGTTCAATAGTAAAGTATAGGCTGCTTTATATAACTATGATTGTACCATGTCGAACACGGATTCTTTTCAGATTACCAACATTTCTTGTGACTGTATTAATAAAAACAATACGGCCATCCCAAGGCAAAACAATGTAACTGACATTTTTGTCGATTTTGAGATATTATTATTTGGGAGTATATTAAACACGTCTGAATTACATGTGAAAAGTTCAGATCTCAATAATGATTCGTTTTGGATATAGCACCACAAATCTTAAAATCTAGTGGTTTTCAATGGCAAAACCACGTAACTACAAGATTACGGGGTAAAACAACGTATCTAGGATGAAGATACGTTGTTTTGCCTCAGAATGGTATTCAAATATTTTCTTGAGCTGATGGAGTTTAGTAAGGCAAAATCGAATGGTTATTAGTGTTTTTATATCAATAATCTTAACAAGCTTGTTAATGCATATGATTGCCCCAAACAGGATAAATTCCAAAAATATGTCTTACTTGCAACAATACCGAACCTGATACATTTCCAAGGCAAAACAACCTATCTGTAAATTATTGCTAATAACTTTGCAATAAGCAAACGGTTTTAATGAAAATTTCACATATAATTACAGTGTCTATTGATACACAATCCTGTAAAATTTCAAAAGGGTACGACAGTTTATTGCAAAGTTTCGAACATGCAAACTTTAACTCTATTTTTCTCCAAAAGTGAAAATTTCAATTTACATTGTTTTGCCACAGAGCGGCCGAATACTTAAATGAGAGTTTTTAAAGTCAAATTTTTTAAGAGAGAAATCAAAGAGTGTAGAACTGCAAAAAGGTCCGACTGCCCTGATTATGTATGCATGCAATGAATGTTAAAAAAAATTACTACCACAAGATAGGGGGCTGCCTATTTACAAATGCCTTTTATGTTCTTTTGAAGGATGCCCTCCAGTTCGTGATAGTACTTTTTTTGAGAAGGGATTGCGTTCCAACGAAACCCCAACAGTCAGATCTCTTGCAGTTCTTTAGGAATTTACAAACAAAAAATTCTTTCTCTTTTTAAGCGCATTGAGTTGAAGGAAGCCTTAGCACCTAAACGTGGATCATCACCGGCGCATGATGGAACCGCTGATGAGGAGAAAGAGCGACTGAGAAAGGAAAATATTCAAGCTAATGAAAAAGTCAACAAGGTGAGTGGCTACTTACTTTGCAATATATAAAATGGAAAAAAATTATCAAACAGAGTTGTTAAAATGAGAGTGATAATGATAAAGATGATGTGATGGTGATGGCTATCATGAAGATCACAATTTTTTGGTGATGATGATGATGATGATGATGATGATGATGATGATGATGATGATGATGATGATGTAAGATTGTGATAAAGATGTAATACTGATGATATGATGATGATGATGTGATGAAAATAAAAATAGCAATAATAATAATTTTAAGAATTATTATTAGAGTACAAATTGGCAAGAGGTCCGATTGTCAGGGCTACCTTGAAACAGATTCCTTGAAAATCTACTACCATGAACTAGAGGGAATCCTTCAAGAGAAATGATATACATGTAAAAGTCGTTCATATCGAACGTGTGCTGCATCTACTCAACGCATGTTCGAATATAGCTATTTGAATTAGGGGCCCATCTTATGGTATTACTACATTTTTTGTTTCATTGTGTGCTGTGTTCATGCAAAATAGAGATAGGTGGACCTCTTGCTATTCTATACTCTTTGGTTAAAAGTAATATTAATAAAATTATAATAATTTATTTGGATATGCATTTTTTAATCAGTGGCACACAACCACAAGGGCGGTGCATCCTAAAAACATAAAGGTAAATTTTAAAAATTACAATAAAATTGGAAGACATGAAAACAACTAAGAAAAATCAGCTTAACTAAAAAGAACATCATCAGACTGTAGATGACGCATCTCTCTCCTGAAACAGCCATGCAGGAAACAGAGCACCACTCAGAATGGCCAAAATCAGCACCAGAGATCAACTACCTGATCACAACAGGGCTGTTATGACCAAGAGTGCAGCTGATAAATGTTTCCAATAGAGGCGCAAATTTCCTGATTATAGGCCTAATAATATTGTTATAGAAAAGTAATTTTTCTGCAATTTAGGCGAGACTTTTTTTAAACCTTGTTCAGTGAATCTGTCGACTGCAAATATTAATGATTTTGAATAAAAATAAAATTTTATTTTTGGCCAATTAGCGCACCCACCGCCACGAAAAAGTGGAAATTAAAGGGAAAAAAATTTTTTCTTTATTTTTATTACGCCCTCCGCTGCCTTGAAATCTCCAAAGATAAGATGTATATTTCTTCCTAATTATATAAATTTGAAGCATTTAACCATCCTATTTTATATTCATCAATAATTTTTTTTTTTTCTCCTCCATCTGGATGTTTTTGGCAAAACTATTTGCTAAATAAGAAAACAAAATTTTATTTTTATTTTTATTCCGCCCTTGTCCTATAATCTTTAAAAAAATAAGTATGATACAAGGAATAAAAAAAGTCTCGCCTTGCATTAAAAAATGTTTAGAATGGACGATGGGTCTAAAAGATGAAATAGCCTTAAAACCACACATCATAAGGATATATTCTACAACCAGGCAAGACGTCTCCCAAACCACACACTCTACAAAGATTCACATACAGTACTTTGGATTATGTGTCAGAAATCCCTTTTTATGTTTATTGTGCTGTAAACTGGAAGCCTGAAGTTAGTTAATATTGAGGCCGCCGATGCCAAAAATGGTTGTATTTCCTAGCTACACAAATCACAGTATTGTCTGTATTCATTCCTTTTTTTGTGTCAATGAGTGAAAATGTTTAGTTTGACATTTTTATGCTGTTTAGATGCAAGAGGAGATTAATGGTCTGGAATACTTGATATCAGAAACAAAACGAATACAGGTAAACAAGTACAACATTGTACTCATTTTTTCATAACTTCCATTCATATAAGTATATTATAGACTAAAACAGTCGTGTTGTCACAACACCACTTGGCACACTTTGTTGTCAACCAGAGGTTGGTTACCATTTATTACGCCTGCTTAACTTCATAATCTTAATGGTTTAGAATAGGCTTTCTGGAATAGGCATTTTAAAACCTAATAGTTTACCATCAAAATGTACTAAAAACACAAAAGCTCGCATTATATTAGTTATCGAACACACATTTAATCATCAATTTAAATTTACAAAGAAAAACTAAAATACAACATTTTAATAAGTGCGTTAGAAATTCGGATCAATGGTTTGTCAGTGGAAAAATGGCATCCGGTTGAATTCATTTTGTGTAGTATAGAGACTAGTAGTATTGCGTGGTATCGTGACGTAACACTGTGTAGTACTCTGTATAAGATAAAGAGTTCCTTTGATAGCTTTCATTTAAACTTAAAATGATTATGGCTAATTTGAAACTTCTACCTTCTTCAATCAGAGATTATCTCATCCATCCATGATGAACATTCATTAAAAACGGACATTAACGTTCATACAGGAATCAATATTCTTTCATAATTTCCTACAATTTTTATTCCTTTTATTAACATATATGTTTGCAAGCAATGGTAAACAAGATATTTTACAGATCCAGTTTACTGACTTGCCTCAGCTTGGTTTATGGCATGAAAATAAACTTGTATCTTGTATTTGTACTGTAGGGCCACCAACTCAAAATATGGTTCAATAGATAAATTATATTATTAAAATAAAATTCATCAAGACATTTTATCTACATTTGTCCCCAATTAGGAATATAAATGTTTGCTGATAAGTGAGTGATATAAAGTACTACAGTGTCACATCACGATACCACGTGATACTACTCCGTTGCTATTGTTGCAAGAAGCATTCAACCTGACGCCATTTTCCTCACTGACAAACCATTGATCCGAATTTCTAACGTAATTATTAAGATGTTGTATCTTACTTTTTCTTTGTAAATTTTAAATAATGATTAAAAGTGGTTTCGATAACTAATATAATGCGAGCTTTTGTGTTTTTAGTACATTTTGATGGTAAAATATTAGATTTTAAAATGACTGTTCCAGAAAGCCTATGAAGTCATTCAGGTGTATTGAACGGTAACCAACGTCTGTTGACAACAGAGTGCGCCACCTGACGTTGTGACGACGCAACTGTGGTACTCTATGGAATGAAATGTGAAAAAATGTTATTTTCTTTAATTTTGTTTTAGGAGGAGAAGTACAAGGCTCTGTTGGATCGCCATAAGCAACTAATCCTTCACAGTAGTGGTATTCAAAGAGAAATGAGATCATTGTAGGTCACAGGTTATATTATTAATAATTATTGTCATGTTTTGAGGTGCACTGTTGAAATTTGGAAGCTAAAGGAAATGTTATTTGATGAAAAACTAATTTAAAGGAACTAACTTCACCTTAGCATTCTATTTTCCAATAGCACCTAAAATAGTTTGATATTAATTACTGTATAAGCCATTCACACTTAAGTGAGGAACATCTTTTTAGCATCAAACATTTCCAGAATAACAAATAAATATGTGCCAATTTAGTAATAGCTACAGGCAATGTTTTGAAATCCATTATTATTATCGTTACTATTATTATTTAATTTTAACCCACCCATATAAAAATATATTAATAAAAATACATATAACCACCGGCATCATCCAAGCTATCTTGTAAAATATGAAGCGCATAGAGACCAAGTATTTATTGCTACAAATGATTAACTGACTAATTGTTTGTATCCTTATGTTGATATTCTTGTTGGACTGGTTCAATATTTGACAAATAGTTTGATATCTTTTTCAGACAAGCCGATTTCCAAAAAGAGCTGAAGCAGCGGGATTCCAAGTTGCGTTCGATGCGAGGCAACTTAGCAGAACAAGAGCGTAATAAACAGATGCTGGTGATGCAAATGGAAAGCAATAAGGCTATGCCAAGTCAGGTAACTAGCTAATTATCAATTTAAATTCCATGTACCATTGTCATAGTCAAGCAATTCTAAACAAAAAGCTAAAGTACAACAACCCGTACAACAATTTTCATTTGATTTCTTATCCTAGGCAGTTAAGAAGGAAGATATTAGTGCTTTGAAATTGAAGGTAGAAGACCAGTTTAAAAACTTGAAGATGTTGGGAGATGCCTTGAAGGAGAACAAAATATCACTTGAGCTCCATACAGTGAGTATTCAAAGTGTTTAATAGTACAGAAATTGAAAACAACAAATACTTAAAGAAAAATATTTATTTTATAAAAACAGGTAGACATAAATTCCTTATGGCATATATAGGTATTACAGGGGCATAGACTAGTTTTCGGTATGCAGGGGGAGGGGGGTGGAAAATGGTTTGGGAGTGCAAAAATTGAGAATGCGGAACTAAATATTTATTCCAATGATAACTTTAATACTAAAATGGCCAATTTTAGTATTTTAACCCACTTATTGGAACTAATTTGCCGCCATGGGGGTGCGTCCGCACACCCTAGCCTCATGGGAGATGATGTAGGGTGTTGTCTTCCTACTGTATATACCTGTTTTAAAAATTTTGCACTCACAAATTTTGATTAGGTCTTATTTATGATATATTAATTTCTGTGTCAAACAGAGCATATATAGCATTTTGTACATTAATGATAGTTATGTGGATATGTCATCTTACAGATCACTGTTGATGTCATAACTCAAGCAATGGAAGTACCCGAGATGAGGCTAAGGCAACTATTTGAGCGTTACATCACATTCAGAAAACTTCAGGACCAGAAAGGTATAGTGATTGCAATATTTAATAAAACCAGAAATAATGTTAATGACAAAATGTTTCCCAATCTGTCAATTAACATCAACTGCACAACATTGAACTTTGATTGAATGCACACCTGGGTTAGCATATAGGAGTGAGAGCTCATTAATTTGTATTAGACAATACCACTAGAGCAGCTTAGCTCAGTCGGCTAATCTGGTGGTAGCCACTGTGTGTGCGCTGTGGAGATCTATTGGTCCCCAGTTCAATTCCCATCGCTGCTCTCCATGTATTTCAAAGCTAGAGGGCTGAAATACAAGTTATGATAGCGCAACGTCTCTCGGATGAGACGTTGTTCCCGTGGGCATTATGGTCCATGTGCACGTTAAAGAATGCAGTACACTCTTTGGAAAAGAGTAGAGGATCGTCTCCCGGTGTACTGCCCAATAACCATGAGAAGGACCCCACTGGAAATAAGTCAGACTTTCGTGGGTTATCCTTGGTATTTACACCAAATAAATCCAATCCAATGGAGCTTTTATATAGTATACAATACAAACATAACACCTCTGACTAAACTATTATTTCATTAATCAATTAATAATATTAATAAATTATTAATCTAGCCTAGCCGAAGAGGCCAAGTGGAGTATCCGATTATTCAGGAATGAAAATCAAAATCGTACTCATTTGAGCGTCAACATACGGGTAACTTAGCTGTACTCAAAACTTTCATGTTAAATTGAGGGTACCATTGAAATCAATTCTTAGGCGTATTTTGATTGGCTGAATCTATGGCAGCCATTTTGTTGCTTTGAACAGCTGTATGTTTAAACTCCATTTTATAGCTCTCATTTTACTGTCTGACCCTGTTTAATAACTAAAAATAATTTTTTTGCAAGGAGTAACTGGTTTGGCTTGTCATTGCCACCTAATTTTATACTTACAAATTAGATAATAAGGGCACTCATCTCTGTGTTGTGCATGGACATTAAGATGAGAAGAAAAGAAACATTATTAAAGTTAAAAATTATCTCCCAAAGTCAAAGAAGATGAAACAATATAAGCCAATTAACAGGATTATGTAATTAGCCGTTGATTATTTTTGGAAGAAATTTGTGTAAAATAATTTGGCAAGTACAGTAGTTAGAAATTAGATTTAAGGTAATCATATTTTGCTGTAGGTGTTCCTTCATGGATAATTTCAAATGCCATATTCTTGTGTTTATAGAGCAACTGATGAACAAACTTTCAATGACAACCGGCGAGCAAGAGCGTTACCTTCAAGGCTTCCTTACAAGGATGGAGAAACGCATGCAGGAAGTGAGTACGCCTACAACATTCATAATAATAATAATATTAATAATAATAATAGTTGGATTTACACCAGAGTCTCAAAGCATTCGAAGCGTGGACAAGCTTGTACAGTAACTACCTTTTCTTCTAATGTCTCTTGGTGCCTGATCTACCCGGTTAGCTGGTACAAGCTACTCTCGTCTATGTCGACCAGCACACCAGGGTAACCCAGTGTATGGGCCTACGGTCTATAGTCCTTATCCGAGAAGACTTGTTTAGCATTTTGCGTTATATCTATAACTTTATTATTATTTGTTCCACCACCAGAACCATAGGTGAATGTGCTGTTTAAACCAGCACCAATGTTATGATGGTTATAGGTTGCGGTGCCCATGCCTTAACCTCTCGGCATTTTGACTCGCCCTAAATTATTCAATTTTTCTATTATATGCATATACTATTTGAATATTTAACTTTATATATACTTATTTATACCTTTATATACATATTTTTTTATATAACTTTTTAATTTGTATGTACAACTTTTATAATATACATCTTTATCATTATTTCTGTATTTTGTTTTGTAATTAATTTTTTTTTTCTATATTTTTGGCCTAAAAGATATTTTATATTCATTTTGAATTGATCATGTTCAGGTCTTTGTTACCCAATAACTTTGTTTTAAATTGATTTTATGTTCAACTCAGGTACTTTGTTTATTGATAGTGTGTACAGTACAAGATAGTATAATACATACTCCAAGTATCGAAATGCACGCCATCGTTTCGGGATTCAATATTTCGACATTAATTATGTCATCATCATCATATTATACTATCTTACCTGAGATTAATCAGTGGACCTTTCTGTGTACAGTACTTTATTGCAATTTATAGAAAGCTGTATTATATTTTACACTTTTCTAGGGAAAAAAACCAGTAAGTTAAATGAAGATTTTTATGCCAAAATAACTTTCATTTTAAGGCTTCGAGAGCTGAGTTTAGTTGGTGTTTGGTTTGTATATGTGAAATTAATTTGCATACAAGTTGTCACATACAAGTTAGTACATAAGCACACAGACCTCAGACACATTTTTAATGATTATTTGTTGAATTATGCAGTCGATCAAGAAATGGCAGGAGAAGAAAGAACAACTTAAAGTACAACGGACAAAGCTGTATGAACAGATGTTTGCCATGTAAGATTTTTTTTTTTTAAATTTTGAAATGAATACAGTATATTACCACAATGATTTTCCCCCTTATATTAGTTAGTAAAACTATAATGATCTTAGACATGCTATGATATTTTATAATCAATTTCTCCTAAAAAACCATTACCAGAGGAATATATACATGTATTATATGGCCTGTGTACCCAGGGTATTTCTTGAATCTGGGAGTAACGCAACTTAGTATCTTCTACATTATTTTTTATTTTATTTTTTTAAATTTTATTTTATTTCAATTTGCATTCCACAGTGGGTGGCCTGCCACTTATTTAATAATTATTTAATTATAATCATATAGTACCCTATAATGATCATATTTGTAGGTATTATCATCATCACCATCACCACCACCATCACCACCATCATCATCATCATCATCATCATCATCATCATCATCTTTGTCCTTACAGTAATTGTGTAGGCCACTGCAGGCTGTCATCCCCCTCAAGTTGATTCCATGTCTTATAATTCTGTATCTTAAGATTTGATGCTGTCAAGGAAGAAACTGGTTTGAGTATGATCAAACCGATTACCAAAACGCTAATATTTATCAAGCCTCAACAACAACGGCGGGATCATGGACGAACTATGGGACCTTACGGTGTGCATCTGAAAATACCCGATAAACCAAGCAATGTAATTGGAACAAGTGTTGCGCTTATAGGCAGCAGAGGTCCCGTATGGAAGGTACACTGCATACACATTATGTGTATAATTATCCAGGGGTATGAGGGGCCGGTCCACCCCTTCCCATTTTAACTGTCACTGCCAATTTCATTATTTGAATTGATTCCAAAATAGCAGCTTTCCTTTTAAGTATTTCTTCTTGCTTGGTTTTTTTATTTTTTTTTTTTATTTATGATCCCCTGTTTATCTGTCGGTTTTATCTGTTTAATGTAGGACTTGGCTACAAATTTGAAAAAGGCTTTGTGTATTAGTAATGAGGTAGCTATACTGACAGTCAAATGACATGGGGAGGGATAATTGACTTATTTCATACTATCTGTTTCTGAAAATACATTTGTCATATGTATATTAAACAATAATTTATACAGTACATTCTTAAAAACAAAATAATTTAAAACGGTTATTTAAAAATGATTGTATTGTATCGTATGTTCTGTTCATCCTTTTTTGTGATGTTTATCTATGCAATATCTTTTTAAAATTTTAAAAATTTCCAATTTAATATTGTTTATACTGTAATTAATTATTCACTTGTATAGTATTTTTTATATGTATCTAATACACCTTGTAATTGGCTTTACTGTAGGTGCTGGATGATGTTTGAAATAAAATAGAATTAAAAAAAAGTATTATTCATAGAGAAATTGATGAATTTTCTTCTTAAGCTGTGTTTCTGTAGCATTTGACTTAACCAATAAAAAATTATCTGTTAAAATTTTGTGTGCAAATAATTGTCTAACCATTTATCATATAAGTTCTAATAAATACATGATTTATAGCTCATTCTTTGTTTTAACTGGATGATCTTATTGAATGATTTGTGACTTTCAGCCAATAGGAAACATCGATCATTTCCCAGCATACATCACAACACCACGGACACTTGATCTTGATGTAAATTATAGAAGGCAACGAGCAAGAGAGTAAGTGTCATAATAAATCATCTCAATATTTTTGGGTGGCTCACATATAAATGAATCATCCATCTATGCAAGTTCGTAAGTGCAGGCTCAAATTGATTGCATGAAAACGGTTTGGCACAGCAGAAAGGTTGGTTTCCTAACCTCGAGACTTTGCTTGTGTCCTTGAGCAAGGCACTTGCCTGCTACTGTGGCAATATGAGGGCAACACTTCAGCATGTGAACCCAATGGCCAAAGAACACAAAGCACTTTGTAATAATAATAATAATATGTCATTGTTATATAGCGCTTAATGCCTTAACAAAGCCTCTAAGCCCTTCACATTACTACCCCGGTCATTGGATCAAACACATATGGAACACATTGAACACCAAATTAAACTATTAAATTAAATTATATTATTATTCCATAATATTGCGGCTAGTAATCAGCGCAGTTGTGTTGAAACCTACCAGGTACCCACTTGTACTCCTGGGTGGAGAGGCAACAGTAGATAAAGTGCCTTGCCCAAGGACACAAGCGATTTGCACAGCGAGAGTTTCGAACCCCCGACCTCGAGGTTGGGAGTCCAAGCCACAACCGATGCGCCAACCGCTTCTACAACCTAATGGAAAGGCACTATATAATAACAAAAATAACTTACTATTTGAAGATGGGTTTAAATCCTAGACTAAAAGATGGTGCAAATTTAAAATGAAAAAAGATTTGGTTTTGTTTACAGAGTGTTGAAACGATTGGGAATGGGAGACTTTACTAAGGAGAACCCTTCACGGCAGCCATCGCGGATGTCACAAAGTCCATCTGTTCCGCCACTAGCAACTCTGTTTCCTCCAATTACAAACTTTAAGAAGTGACCGTCTCTCTCATGCACACTAATAAAGCTATTATGTTCATTTGTTTTACAATTATATATACACACCAGAGGACAAATCCAGTGTTTATTCATTATTTGGTAGCATTGACTGTAGAATGAAACTTAATGAAACATAAAAATAACACTGGCTGTTGCCATTCAGTGAGCGAGAGGATGTAAGGTTGCACCAATCACTGCACCAATCACTTCACCAATCAACAGTTGTTTTAGATAATAGCCTTTGATGGCTTTTGTAGAAAAAAATTGAAATATGATGAACAAAAATGAATACTGTATGCAGCCAATAGATCAACCTGGAAAAATAAGCAAATTAAATATACTATGTACAAGATAACTCAATATGATAACATAACTTTTATTGTCCAATAAAACAGCTGGAAATTTGTTTTCCTCTGGCAATACAGAAACACAAGGTAAAATAACAATTAAAATACAATAGATAAAAATGTTTAATACTATAACAGGATTAGAGCTGTGGTTTGGTATTTAAGATGCTTGCCTTCTAATCCCAGAGCCCTGGTTCAGACCTTGTGCTTAATGACTAAATGAATTCTTCACATAATAGAGCATCACATCCATTCTGAGGATGGCTCCAGAATTTTGCTGGCAAGGGGTCCAAAAGGAGTTCGAACCAAGGGACCATGTAGAACCTTGGTCAGGGTCCTGGAATAAAATCCCTGGTTGTGTTCTTGGGGATTGCCCATCTGTGCTGTATAGCACAGATGGGCAAAGTGCAGCCCTCGGCAATGAATTAAAAACCCCTACTATGTGTGCAGCCTGCCAACCATATTTGGCTAGAGACCTTGTTTTTTACAGCCCAAAACTGATCAACAGTACTGTATTAAAACTGAGCATAAAGTGGTATAAAAGCAGTGCATTGAGGTTTTTGAAACCTATTGAAAACGTAAAAGCTTGGATGTGGTACCCTTACGTGTTAAATCAAAAAATTTACTTGGCCCTCCAACAACCTATCCTATACCACAACCCTGTGGTATAGGATGGCCCAAAATTGCCCTTTTGGTCCTCTGATTAGCCACATCCACCTCAGTACGACCATGATTGGAGCTGAGTTGAAAACATGTAGGTTGTTGCACCTCTAGATCCACAAATATGACACACAGAGCAGCCGAAGCTTGTTCAGAAAAACATTAATTCCCCCCCCCCCCTCCGGAGACAGATTTTTTACGAGACTCGTCGACAACTGGGCTATGTGTCCCAGCTGCTGCTGGCCCTTTCAAATCTATATTGAAGCTAGCTGAATAGTATGCAGTGGCAGTTCCAGCGGAGTGGGCATCCACAATCCCATCAATAACCCTGGACCTCCATATGTGGAAGGAGCCAATCGGAGTGTGCCATTTTGGGTGCCTATGGTGTGGCTGAGGTGGATGTTGACCCTGCCATGTTAATGCTATGTACCACACCTTCATGTTTGAAATTTGTGCAATGTTGAATTGTATTATAAAGTTATTTACTTCATTGCATACTATGCAGTACCTTGAAAAAGAATGTGTCCTAATGGGAAAATGCAAGGGTGTATACCACATGGCGTCATAGCTCAGTTGGTAGCGTATCTAAACGGTAATTGAAGGTCTTGGGTTCGAATCACTAAGGGGTGTATACCACATGGCCTCATAGCTCAGTTGGTAGCGTATCTAAACAGTAATTGAAGGTCTTTGGTTCGAATTCCTAAGGAGACATATTTTTTTTCAAATATGTATCATCATCTTTAATTATCACCAGTGGAGTTCAAATTTATTTTGGAATCTCAGCTATATCAAATTTAGTGTACAGTAAAATTGTAACATATGCAATGTTGATAATAGTGTAACTTAAATTTTAAAATATGACAGACAATTTATTTTTATATCACAAAAACATTTTTCATTAAAGATACAAGATTAAGCTGCTATTGATTATTTGGTTTGTAATGTACTATTACATTATTGATTTTTTTTTTTTTTACATACAAGGAGTGTTATTTCCAACCATCTGAAGTTTTCTTCCATAAAATCTGTGGTGTCAGTCCAATACTGTATATGGTCCATATGGGGAAGAGACCTCTGCCCTTGGAAGCCCCAAGTTTTAAAATGAGTTTTATCCATTTAATCTCAGCTAAAATGATTTCACACTGTTAGATATTTCGGCAGTGACCAAGGGCACAAGTGCCCCTTTGGCCACTCCCTAGATCTGTCAAAATCAAGTAAACACTATAATGTATTTACGAAGTCTGAGTTAGAAATATTCAACGGTTAAATTTAATTCTGTAAATTTCCCCATACAGCATCTTCCCGGCTTAAAACACACAATTCTATTAAAAAAGAACAGGACACACTATGTATATAAAACGCTAAACCAAACTTTATTGATGTTTGTTAATAAACCTCCTTTTACCATCAGAACATTATCCATGTAATAAATAATAGAGAGGTTCTACAGTGACATGTTCAGACGCTGTACAGAAAAGTTCAGCTGCATGTTACAAAATAACAAAAAGTAAGTATTACTGTATAAGGCCAAAAAAGTGGTGGGGTCCACAAATCAGATGTGTCAAAGAAGCCTAACTTTTCGGTCCAACAAGGGGTCGAACAAGTTTTTTTTTTTATCATTTAGGATGTGCTCAGAGAAAATGGCAATGACAAATTTTGTTCAATCGGCAAATTAATACTTTTAGTCTGATGTCCACAAGTGGTATCCGATGATGTGGTATATGCTTGCCCAATGGGAAACATTTCCCCAGACTGCCACACTGAGTGAGGACATAATTGTTCCTTTTATTTCTCCATAAATTTTGTATGTTCAAAATGAGGTAGCGTATAGACCATTTGCACCATTCAGCGGAACAGCCGACAGGTTGATGATATGCTGTGAAATCTCTATTATATTTTGATGCATTGTCATACATTCATACCAAATATATTTATGGGGAAGACTAGTCAAAAGGTTATTTATTGTTTTAGATTATTTCTCTACACTTGTAATAGCACCATACCCAACAAAAAATATCTATATTGCAAGGTTTTGAAGTATTAAATACCAATGCAATTGGCAGTGTAAAACACATAACATGTATACATTCATTATTATGTAAACCATAAATTTACATAATTTTTTTTTTTTGAGTGTCAATCAAATTTAACAACTAACCATTAGAACAGAGTACATTTAAGCTGTTTTTTTTTTTGTTTTTTTTTTTTGTGGAACTTCAGCAGCAATATCCAAGGAGCTTAACGGAACGTCCATTCTTGGTATAAACAAAGAGTATAGAATGCAAGATGTCCGACTGAGTTTCCTTTGAATGCAGTTCCTATCTAAAAGAAATTACTACCACGAACTAGAGGGCGTCCTTCAAAAGAATGTAAAAGGTACCCCTATATTGTGGTAGTACTATTTTTAACGTTTCATTACCTGCATACAAAACCAGGGCAGTTGGACCTCTTAGACATATTAGTGATTTTGGTACTAGTGTATATTGTTTAAAATTTTGCTGCATTGGAAATTAACTTACTTGAGGTCTTCAAATGAGCAATTCAGTGTTTAAATAAATGTTTGAGGGGTTTTAAGTACTACCACATATCATTAAATATTCAATTTAACATTACCAAAGTTTATTTTCAATATAACTGTATTATGCTTGAGGTTCTTCAGATCTTATTGTAGTCACTGTATCTTTAGCACATGTATCAAAACTTTATTTCATTAAAGGGGAAGCATTACTTTAATTGTTCTTATACATATTTTGTAAACTTCCTTTGTTCTGAATGTAAATAATAGATTTTCAACAACATCAATGTTTTCAAGATAGTTCCAGAAATACTTTCTACCTTTTACCCTTTATGCCATCCAACAAAAATCCTTAAGTTGATTACCAGCCAATTTAAGAATCTATGCAACAGAATACAGCATAGGTATTATTAAATTATCCGTTAATTTTCTCATTAAAATTCTTAATTGCAAATTAATAACATACTTAAATATACAAATTAAGGAGTTCAAATATGGAATTGAATTTTTCAATCTTTTTAGCTCATGACAGACAGTACATCTTTAAAAAAATGATTAATATCTAACTTTACCAATGTTTTGGTTTAACTTTTTATAGCTTATGAAAAAATGAAATAATTTGTTAACCAACTTGAATAATAATAAAAGTAATCATAAAATTGTAAAATTAAAAAGGATGATTTTAAAATGCCTACCAAATGATAAAATATATACTACATAAACCTCTGTCCAGATTATAAAATTTTCTTTGACAAAAAAACTGGTGTATGTCCATGCCGCCAACGTCTCACAACTCACTGGGGGACTTTCAGGGGCCTAACCTGAGCTGCTGGCTAGGTACAAATGGAGCACCACGCAGCGGATATCGCCGGTAGACAAAGATACGAACTTGCAAATTACAGTAATTACTGTATATGTAAGCACTGAAATAGCTTTTTAAGACTTAGACTTCTTTTTAATATAAACATTTCGTGTTCTTTGTGCTTGTTAGTAATTTAGTGTTATCGTTCATTTAATCCATGATGGTAACTACGTAGAGTGAAATGCTAGGCCTCTGAAAGTCCACTCCAATTTTCAAGTACAAAGCCTCATCATAAATATACTTAGCTTATTCAGCTGCTGTCTTCAACTTTTCCACTTTTTCTAAATCATTGACCATTTATACATTGACTTTTTAGAAATTTATAGGGTGATTTACGATCAAAGAAAATTGCCAGTTTTTTTACCCCAGGTTATTGTACTCACAACAGGAAAACTTCTCAGCTTTGTTGTAAAAACTATTTAAAAAACATACACTATAGAAAATAAATCTTGAATAAGTACAATATATACACTTCAAAAATTTGGGAAAAAAAACCACAATTTCATGTCATATATGTTACATAGTATTTATATAATACATACCTAAAATATATTCCATATATATATAATTATATTAGTAGGTCCAGTATAATATTCATATTAAAAAATATTCAAGTCTCTAGTTTAGGGCAAGCAGTTACTAAAAATGTGTTACTAAAAATAATATGTATTAAATACTCTACAAACATTTGGACGAAGAAATGATGAAACTAAACCTGAGCTAACACTGAAAAAAATTCCAGCTAAACAGCTAAATGTTTTTAGTGCATTTACTTGCCACACACCAGTCACACACACTGACCAAATACAACTAAGTTCAATTAAACAGTAGGGGAACACTACTGTGGAAGTAACTAACCACAAGCCTAAGGCCTCAGGACTTTGATAATAAAATTCTAGCAGTAGCCAGTAACCCAAAGCCTGGAAACCTAGGGGGAAGGCTTGGAATTTCACAGTTGAAGAATCCACTGACAAAAGGTTGGAAACCAAGACAAGTCCAGAAAGGAACATTTAGGATAAGGCACTCAGATGAAATGCTGGAAATTAGAGGGCAAAGCTGGTATCCTAGAAGAAAGACTGGGAATAGTGTGTAAATATGTAAAAGTATCAAACCATAAGAAATACCATAAAACCAATACCATAAAACATTTCATAAATATGTAAGGGGAAACCAAACTTGTGACTAAATAAATACTACCAATTATAGTTTAACCATTACCAATTTTTTGTAGACTTCATAAAAAAAGAATATCTAAATAATAATATTAAAAATAATAAAACTAGAGAAAATATTGCCCAATTTTTTGTCGATCAATCACACGTTTGAACTTGATTCCATCTTGGGTGGTAGAATCGAGGAGGAATCATTAGCTTCAATGAAGGATGTCTTTAACCTGACTGCATAGTCAACCAGAGTATATGAGAGCTTAGGGTCGTTGATACCGTACCAAAACACTGTCCATTTGCTGTTACTCCAACTCCCTTCACATCGTTTAAAATACCTACAAAAAAGTCAATGAAAAAAATAAATAATCAACAATGTTTATGTTGTTTAAATATAATGTACTTTTTTGATATAAGTATTTTATTTAGTTTTGTATTAAGTATTTTACACAAAATATAATGTACTTTTTTGTACTGCAGTTAAACTTGCATAAGTTGACCTAACTTGAATAATTTCTAAGTCGATCTTACTTTACATGCCAAATTGTTGTGTTTCCCATTAATTACTGTAATGATCTGTAAGTCAAATTTTATTTAAGTCACTTCGGATTCGACAAGTTCAACTGTATACATTTTACACAAAATATAATGTACTTTTTTGTATGAAGTATAATACACATTAGATTTACCACTCAATTTAGAGATAGCATCAAGAAGTCTCTAAAAAATAAATTATTGTAAACAATCAAGTAAACACCACTGCACTTATTTGAGAGCAGTGTTCAGCGAAAAATAAATCATGGTTGATTTACCAATTGATAATATATATAGTTGCAACTTACCATGGGTTGATTTTATTGGAATGTTGAGACCTCCAGAAGAGTTGATTGAACTTTGCTCGTATCACATCCCACAGCATGTCACTTGTTCCCTCTCCCTAGCAAAAAATTATTAAATAAATTCAAAACAAAATAATTTTTTTTGACAAATATGGCAATATAAAGCAATATGGTTCTTTTTAATTAATGACAATGGACCTTGTTCTGATTGGTCAATTAGTTGAGCAATCAGAACATGGACAAGAGTATGCATGTCTCAAACACGTGTTGTCAAACAAGATGTACATCTTTGAGTATACTGTACACTGTTGATTTATGGGACTTATGAGCAGCAAAATGCAAAGGGAGGGCTTTAGCAGAAAGGTCCATAAACCACATAGAATATACAAAATAAAAATAGAACAGTTTGAAAATTAAAAAAAAAAACAAATATCAGGGAAATTTCAAATGCTCTGGCAGATCATTGGCACACGCACAAAGATACTACTCAAATTATCTTTTTTTAGATAGACTGCACACAATAAATTCAAAACATCGGTTGATTGTTTCATGCAAAGTATGATACTTGAGGATAGTTGCACCATTAAGCCGGGCACGCTATTCTATGTAAAACACAACGGCACAACATGCATGCAACAGATCGTTTTTTAGGACGACCCGTTCCGTTCAGACTCCACCGAAAATCAGTAAACGCGTCGCATCATCTATCGCTCACAGGGCAAAGAAGTGTGTCCAGCTATGGCTGGGTAAAATTTAGTATTGCTCACAGGGCAAAGAAGTGTGTCCAGCTATGGCTGGGTAAAATTTAGTATTGCTCACAGGGCAAAGAAGTGTGTCCAGCTATGGCTGGGTAAAATTTAGTTTTGTACATGGACTTGATAAGAAGAAGATTGAGGAGTTTTGGGCAAAAAATCTACAAATAAAAGAATGACAATAATGATTATGCTATTACCATCATCATATTACGACATTGTCAACATCACAGATAGTGACAACATACATACCTGAGATTGGGTGCTGATGACAAACTTATCCAAGTAAGGAACATTTGTGTCGCCCTCGTTGGTTATAACAGCTGCAGCATCGTAGCTTTCTGATATGTAGATGGTGTTCAATCTGGAAGATATGTCCCGCAAATACTCATCCTTTAGAGGCCTACCAAAAGCCCTGTGAATTAAAAACAAAATATCTATTTTAAATAATATTTAATGTGGGTGATTCATCCATAGCGAAGTGGACCATCTGCAAATTCTTATGCTCTATAATCAAGTTTTCTCACCTAGAGATGTAAATGTGTTGGATTTGTTTTTGGTTGTTATCAGGATTTAATCAAAACATGATGTTAATATTGTCCTATTCATTCCAAAACAAATAATAGCATCCAATCAGAATAAGAAATGTGTTCAATACTGGTGTAACAATAGTCACTGCCTATTTAATAGTGATGTGTATCACTGACAAACTCAAAACCTAATGCTTTGTACACACTTAATGGGACAAATATTTGCCAATATCTGGATCTGATATGACATCTTAAAGGGTAAAGGTGAAGGTAAAGGCAGGAGAATAACCCATAACTTGCATCGTCAATGTGCTGAATTGCATATGGGCGTGGTCCGTGACTACCTAGCAGCCGTAAAGAGGCGCTTCATGGTAGATACATGTTCACTTCGGGGCTTAAAAATTGAGATTGTGATTGTTATGACTTAAACTACTAAACAAGGTAAACTACTATACCGGACAGCATCCCGGTATTTCTGAGTCATGGTTTCGGGGCCATTATGAATTGAATATTAGGCTTAACTGTACTAACTTTCCATAACTACAAAACTACTGTAAAATACTATACAACTGTATATAAGTAAATCGAATATATTTATAACATTAAACTTTATTATGGTGTGGACAATGCTGTTTTTCATGTAATATGCCCTGGCCATTGACTGTTATGAGATAGTGTCATGAAAATGCAATTGTGGCAAAGACAAGCCAAACCAGTCACTCGTCACAAAAATCGTTTTTGAGTTATTAATACAGTGTTAGAGAGTAAAATAATAGCTTTAAAATGGTAAAAAAATCATTCAAATCCAACATTTCCTTATGAAGTTACAAGCGTTTAAACATACAGCTGTTAAAAGAACAATATATGAGAAATCAGCATTCAAAGTTTATGATTTAGGGCATTTCTCATGCAGAAACTATCATCAAATCCTTGAAAAGTGTTGTGTTAACATTGAAAATGGTGAAAATATCAGCATAGCATGATGTATGGATATATAAAGATTAGCTTAGCGCAATAAAATAGATTTTTAAAAATTTGACATTTCAGCATGTTTTGGCCATTTTCTCTGAAACACTGTGTATAAGAGACAGATATATATATATATGTGTGTTATATAATATTGTCATCAACAACCAGTATGGGAAGGTTGGACTTTCTGAAGACAGTTTAGAAAGCTATTTTAAATACCTTGTCATTAGATCGCCTAATCGGGAAATATTTACATCATTTAGATTCGTCATTTCAAGGATTGGATCAGTCTTCTTGAATAGCGTGCCAGCGCCTAAAAGATGAAAAAACCGGAACATTATTACAAATTATTATAGGAGTTTCCCATGTTTAACCCTGCTCAACTTTGGGTTGAGTGAAAATAGAAAAGAAAAGAATTGAAAACAAAAAAGAGCTGAGCAGTCGGCTGAGAGGTACCGTTTCTGCTTTTCATACAAAAAAGCACGATTCAAACCCGGCCAGCATCAAGTTTTAATTGGAGTCTGATCTGATCGGCTCCTTGAATAACCTTCATATTGAGAGTTACGATTAGATGAGAAATATGTATGTATCCGTAATGTATGTATCCGTTACATGTTGTAGTTAAGTCGGGTAGCGCTACAATGTGCGGGCCTGGAAAAAAAAATTGTGCCGCCGACATTAAATTGAAATGAATACAGTATCAAATATTATCTATACATCATATAGCCCAACAGTTATTATTATATTTTTTTTTTTCCTCCAAAAAATGCCTCTGGGACATTCATGATGCCTCCGACTGCTGGTCATGTGCTCGCGCATTTTTTCCAGCCCTGGCGATGGGGCTGTCATGAGTTCCCAGGGGCGCAGCCAAAATGTCCAAAGTCATTTTGTATGAGGTCAAAATAAAGTATTATTATTATTATTTTAATTATTATTATTATTATTATTATTATTATTATCATTATTATTATTATCATAATTATCATTATCATTATTATTATTATTATTTTAATATTATTATTATGTTACTAAAACCTGCCTTAAAGGGGAAATTAGACAATGGAGAAATTAGAGAACAATTAAAAAAATGACATTAAGGGGAAAATAACATTGACGTTAAGGGAAAAATAACACAAAAAATATTCCCCTTAAGTCCGAGTTAACACTAGTTATCATTATTATTATTATTTATTATTATTATTATTATTATTATTATTATTATTATTATTATTATTATTATTATTATTATTTATTACAAAATAAAACACATTCCTTTCACAGATAGTTTGGTGGTACCATAAGAATTATTTAATGGCCGAAGTACTGTCTCACAAGTTATGGTACCATTATAAAAGTGTTATTCCAGTATAAAAAATAATATATTATAAAATAATAAAAATCTTTACCATGTCGGGTAAATAACTCTGTGAGGAGTGTAGTAGCAGATGTGATGACGACACTAGACGTTGATGGAAGTTGTTCCAGCAGCGTTACCATAGTATCAACTTTGTTTTCTATTGCTTTTGTATACCAAGCTTCCTTCATCAGCTTCTCAAGATCACCAGGAATCAAAATTTCACCAATCACCTGAATTGAATCAAGATACAAGAAAAAATTATATTAAGTAGTCTATTACAAGAAGTCTATTACAAGTGGAGCTGTAAATTGGTCATTAAGTTGCTTGCTTCTAATTGCAGGGTCTTGGGTTCAAATCCTGGGCCAGCAGAATTTGTTCTTATGATTAAAAACAACTCCATTTTTTAAGATTACAAAAATATGTGGAGATTAAAATACATACACGTACAAATTCAATTGAAAAAAATAGAATGTATAGCATTTTCAAAATATTTATTTTTAATTTCCAATATTCATTTCATTCTAATCTAACAGCGTGGAATTTCATGAGATAAACTAAGTCTCATTATATATTATTATTATTTTTTTTTTTTTTTTTTTTTTTTTTTTTTTTTTCGAAGGGTCGATTTTCTTTTTTTTTTTTTTTTTCGAAGGGGTGTTCCGTTTTGGGAACAATGGCAATTAGTCGGTTATCCAGGTAAGTATTCACGAAATAGACTAAGTCTCATTATAAGGTTTAGGGAGCAGAGTTGTTTTTACTAAAGAACAAATATCCTTGGGTATTAGCAGGATTTGAACTCCAGACACTGGCATTAGAAGGCAAGCATCTTAACCACCGAGCTACAGATTTCCTCCATCACAGTGGCATAACATGTATGGCCTCTCCCAGTCCAAAGGGGCCCTGTTACTAATACAAGAATGCTTCTACAGAGCCTTGACATTTCAGTCCAGTAGAAAGACCCAAAAGACTCAAAAAATTAATACAGTGTAACTCCGAGTTTTAACTTGCAAGTAACTGATTTTATCTTGTTTTGTAATGGGGGAGCTTTAATGATAAAGTATAACTTTAAAGTAGGCCAAACCAATGCATGCATCACGATGTAAGGATGTACGATACATAAATTTCTATTTTGTGTGATAACAGAACTTGGTCTACAGGCGTTTTTCCCTTATACTGTATGCATAAATGGGTTCCACTCAAGTAATGTCCCCACGGCTTCTTTCATGACACTTTGTGAGCAAATACTTTACTGTAATGAAGCGCCAACAATTTCTTGCCCTAGGGCCTCATTACTGGTTGTTACGCCACTGCTCCATCAATAATGCAGGATTTGAATGCAGGAATACAGGATTTTGAGGCAAGCATACTACTGTAATCACTAAGCAAACAAATTCACTCCACCAACATTATATGGATTTGACCCTGGACATGAGTGGAACATCCTAAAGTACAGCAGGCCTATACTCTACAAGAGCATGCAGTAATTGATCAACTTACGTGTCCCCTATTATTCGTAATTCCGCCATGATTATTCAGGAATAGCACCTTCAGCGGTTGTACTGCCTTCGCAATCTCAGTGGTAGCTTGATGGACATCTATGCTGACTAGCTGAGAACTTGACGTTTCACCGACTGAACTGATCACTGGCATATGCCCACTCCTACAACACAAACACAAATAATAATTGCTTAAATTTATAAATTAACATTTTATGTACTGAGGTATTCATTAATTGAATATTTAATCAATAAATGTAAGGTCTTTTCCACAAAATGAGATGCATTGTTGGTAAAATCATATTTAGCTATTCATCAAAATAGGTCAAAACCAAAATTTTGATATTAATGTTTTTGAATAACTTGATACTTATATTTTATGATTGTATACTTCTAAGTGAATTTAAAACAGTGTTCTCTACACTTATTCTGTAACTCTAGTCCTATTATTTTGTACAGGTTAGTTTATATTTGAGGCCAACCTTCTCAAAACTTGGTTCTCATACTGTACTCCTAAACTTTAAATGCTCACATCTCTGGATCTACTTTTCTGCTGAAAAGCACGATCTGCTGAAAAGCTTCGTAACATTGTTTGTAATACGGTGCGCCACGCGAGCAGTCATGGTGAAGCTTGTTAATGATTGTAATCTTTAAGCGGCGCACTTTCTTTCTTTTTCTGATGTTTTGTTTCTGTTTGACGGATTCGATTTTCTCTGAACAATTGATGTTACCATGAAATGCAATTCAACTTGTGATGTTGATGCATCGCTGAGCTGCTATATTTTATGAAATGTATGTTTTTTTTATATTGTTTAAAGAATAAAGAAATACTGAGAATAATAATAATAAAAAAATCAAAGACCAAATTAAAGCTTATATGTGATTTACCCAAATATAATACTGTATAAACTCAATTTTTGATTTTCTAACCATGAGACTCATTTTGCGGTAAGACCTCAAAAATATTATTCCCTACCTGAATGCTTATTACTTTTCTAAATACTTGTAAAAAATAATATTGCAAGTTGTTCGGGTGGGATGCAATAACACATCAATCTTCCGATGCAAACACCGTTGTAATAGCATAGTACCTGCTGCTACTTAGGGGTCAGATTCAACACCAATCACTAAGCGCAAACTCGGTGGTTTAGTGGTTAAGACAACAGGCTACTTTCTGGAGGCCGTGGGTTTTCGAATCCCACCCGTATTATTTTCAAGACTTTTTTTCACAAGTATCTGGGGACGTACTATCATCATTCAGTATAATACGTCAGGCATCATCATTCCTATCAATAAATATTATTCATAATAAAATTGTAATTTTATAAAAGAGCTTGGGTAGCCCTGTTGAAATAGATATAAACAAGAACATCATAGGTTAACAAACTTTTGTTTATAAAGTGAATATCTTCCAGTGGTAGGTGCAATCACCTGAAGGAGGTCATTTCTTTAAGCATCGAGGAATTAGTTTAAGGAAAGCTTTGGGGGTTTTTGAGTTACTGCCTACCTTATCTATATCGTTATTTTTAATGATTAATGAGTAGTAGAAAAAGGACTTTGAACAGGCAGTATTTTAAGCCAGGCTTCTGAAGGAAAAAATATTTTGTTATACAAATGAATTTTCTTAAAACCTGAAGTTATGTTTGACCAAAAACTCAGGAACGGTTAATAAGATACAGATTTTTGAATATTCATTTGTTTGTACGACTTTATCACTGCGGAACCTGGCTTTTTAGAGACCTTAGAGAACAGTGCACTTCTTTACTGTGCGCATGAAAGAGCATGTATCAAAAGTTTAAATAAGCCTCTTAAGTGCTGCCAGTTTGATAAATATTAGAACAATAGCAACAGTTGTCCTTGCTATTGTTAGTCAATGTTCCTGCAAAGTATTTAGTGAATACAAAGCTGGAGTCACTATTAAATCCATCAACTAAAGCCAGTGTTACTAGCCATTCAATGACCTAATCTTTAGTCATAAGCTGGTAACAGAAAAGATGCCAAAGATCATTGGCTGAAGGGTGAATTCACCACATTTTGATATACAGTATCCTACTGAAGCTGAGAAGATTAATTCACTAGTTCTGGGAGTTCTAATACAAAGATGAGCCCATAATGAAAGAAATAAAATAGAAGACAAGACGGGTTGAATTACTTTAAATAGAAATATTTTGTAATTTTCCACTATCACGAATGGAAAGAGTTAGTGGAGAAAAGAGACGTACACAGCCTCACACCCCCCCCCCCCCCCCCCCAAAAAAATAAGATCTTTACCCAGTAACCCCTAACTGGAAATGTTTGCTCAAGTACTTAAAAATCACCTTATATCACCCTATTTTGCGAGGTCACGCTACCTCACTAAATCACCAGCCCCAACTTCACCTTCATGTACCCCTATCAGAACATCTCCCCACACATGACTCTTAGATACGTCACTAGTGGAAACGCTTGTGGTATCCTTATTTGCATTGTTTTTGCGGAATTAATTTTGGAAAACACAACATCCAGTGACAGTAGACGTTTAGAAGCATACGCCTGGAGTTGCCCATCTGAGGAAAACTTGTTTTGTCAGTGCCAGATTGAATTACTGTACAATAGGCCTACAAATATTTGAAAGATTTTCATTGCCGTGAAAAATAAAATGCAGTGAAAACAAATCAATGCGTCAAGAATTCACTGCAGCACATGCCCCTCTCATTAACTAAAACAGCATTTTATATCCATAATATATATCACATCACTTAGGGGTGTACATTTGATTTGTTAGAGAATTTATGCACTATTATTTTGCTTTCTTGAACTCCAAAGCTAAGTATAAATAAGAAACAAATGTTGATGCTTGGGGCCTGGCCTAGATCTGGGGATAAAGTTAAGATATTTCTAAAACTTGGTGCAAACAACCTACATTTATAATAGGGAAGGGGATTCCCACATATTACCACTGCAATTTTTTTTTTTTTTAACAAAATATACAAAATGGAATACAGAAACAAAAGGTTTGAATATTTTGTAACATAGATTAACTGAACACATATCTCCAGGCATCTACTAATCATTCCCAAGCTAGTGCTCCTTTGCACTATTCTGAGAAACTGGTGCTCTCTCATTTCAGAAATCCTGGATCGGCCCCTGCTCAGATCATCTACACTGGCTGGGTCAAAATGTCAGTAGTGGTGCGTGATGGACTTATATTTTCTTAGATCTCGATGGCATGTATTTAAATACTTGGAGTATGTATTATACTTTCTTATCTGAGATTAATCAGTGGACCTTTCGGTCAATGACAAGGTATTATATATATACAAATAATACTGTGTGCATATTTTAAATATTAAAATAATTTCTTTGGTCATCATTGTTAATTATTTTTATTGCAATCTATTGTATTTTAAATGTAATTCCTTGTCATTTTATTTATTTTTTATTTCTCATATGTTGTTTGTATTAATTTCAACTAAATTTTCGAGAGGGTCCCTGAATATTAGCTGGCATTCCAGGTCCAGCTGGAAGGGTTTCTCTCTCTACTAAATAAAGCATAAATAAACAAATTAATTAAACATAATAATCAATCTTAATGAAATGTCTCTGTTAGATAAAATCAAACATGTTTTATTTTATCTAATATTGAGACACCTTGTATGAAATAAAATAAAACGTGTTGCATTACAAAGCTCTCTCTACACTATCAAAATCTATGTGACAAAAATGATATGCCCATGTTTGGGAGTAATATGACATCATCTGGCCCATATATAGGCCCATCAAAAAAATATGCTGAAAAGTTCTCACCCTAAACACCATTCTAATGGCTCTGTATTGACGCTTACAACTTTCCCCATCATGCTGCCATCACTGGCCGGATCGGCTTTTAGGACGTTGCTGCCTGAAAACAACGGATGGGCTGGTGTTCCACTTGCGTGTAGAAAGTTCACCATTGTCATCGTCTCTTGGTTAACTTGCCGTCGACTTGCCTACAGTAAACAAATATTCTGGAGTTTTATGTTACAATACTTTACAAATATTGACGTCTTTTTTTACTCTGTAACAAGCCACTAATTGTTAAGGGCTAAGAAAATAACAACAGTAATATTAAGAGACTGCCAGGGCTGAAATATAATGAAAATATAAGGGTGACAATGTGCTAAAACATGCTCTCTTGAGACTTTAGCAGACTCTTATGTACTTTCCTATAAATAATAAAGTTAGGGAATTATATAATGCTTTTCACACCTACAGGTACAGTACTCTCAAATTACTTCGAATTTTGGACATGGTATTTGGAAAACAGTAAACAATGTTAAACTTCCTACACTCTCCGAGTATTCCCAGTTATGCATGAATGAAGTACTGGGGGATGTACTGAGTACTTGGTGCAATACATATCAAGCTGGGAAGAAATATTAAGTTTCCTGATGCAAACATCCCTTGGAATATTCAGAAATTAGGAATTTACCCTTTTCATCAACTCATGATCACCATCATAATCATCTGATCATAAAATGACTATGATTATTACCAACAATGCTACCAGTGATCATCAATACCATTATCAAAATTTAGTATCGTCATCATTATTATTAAGTTTTAATTATAACCATTTATTAACATAATGTACATTGATTTAATAATCGATATTTTAGAATTATGATCATAACCACCAAAGCTATCAGTGATCATTAACACCATTATCACAATTTAGTATTGTCATCATTATTATTTTTAATTATAACAATTTATTAACATTATGTACATTGATTTAATAATCAATTTTTTAGAATTACCCTCAGTTCATCTGGAGTAGGTTGAACATTCTCAGAAAATGTGGCACCATGAACTATTAGTGAGATCATGTCATTGCGAAAAAGGAAAGACAGATTGGAACTCAGGGCTTCAAGCTGAAATGAAAAATGATTATTATAAATAATATTTATAAAATAATTATATCTATTTTTCTGTTTAAAAAAGAGACCTAATTTCAACTTTATTCTATAAAATAGAATTGCTGTAAAAAAAAGAGAGAAAAGAATCAAGATTTTAATTAATGTGACTCCATTAAAACTTAAACTAACAAACAAAACAAATTCAAATCAGAATCTCTTGTGAGCAAATTCTGCCTTTTGTGGTGGTGAGCAAAATTGTGAGACCAAACCTACACATTCTCAATGAGAATGTACAAAAGTGCATACTTTTCTCACAATGTCTAAATGGTTTGCCCGACGAGGGGGAGGGGGAATGATGTCCCTGATAAGAGTGTAAGTAAGCATGGTCGAGTGAGGCTCAAAATCTCTCAGAACAAAAATATATTTATTTTCTACCCGGATAATTGGGATTTCTCCCCGATGGGCCCCCACCCCGCTGGCGGGTATACAAGGTTAGCTGAAACCTGCTGGTGTGTAGCAGACTTCACAGTTATGCATGAGCCGCTAGATGTGGAACAGCTGAGATGTGTAGGCCACAACTTCCAGGAGTCTTGCGACCCCTGAAATTGGGTCCTTACTAAAAGTGATAACATAAAATATTTTGATTCTTTACTGGACAAGCCTTGACTGATTCAACAACGTTCCAGGGCTGAAAATCAGTAAGGTACATGAAAACATGAATGATTGTGAGGTTAACCACACAAATTATCATCAAGCTAACTTTATGTATATTTAGCATATATATTTTACTATTTTCCATGTAAAAAAATTATAATAATAATTATAATTTCATATTAATAATTGATAATTTAAGTACTGTAAATTAATCCTGTAATTGAAAACATGAAGAAATAAAACAATCAAAGAATTATAGGGTCCAGGAGCATGAACCGTAATTTGTGAACCAAAGATGTTGGAATCTAACAAAACAAATGTAAACACGAATCTTGCCATCTTAGGTTGCTGAAATATATCTTGATGGACTTGAACAACTGCAAAGATCTTGGATGGCATCTGCTCAATGTTTTGAAACTGCTTCAACCAATAGCGGGCCTCCTTTGGATCCGTTCCAATCTAAGAGACAAACAAGTTGTGAGAATGTCAATTAGGTTTTCTAAAATGAAATCCTAAGGAATAATTTTCAGTCACAATTCAACCATAAGTTTTTTTTAAAGGTGGAAAAAGGGTGGTTCGCCCCTTTTCTCCCCCAGTTTTTAAATATCCAAAAATCCCCCTAGTTTTTAAATACCCAAAAATCTGTATCTCATTAACCTATTGTGATGCTGCATTAAAAAATGACAGTAAATTTTATATTACCCATTACTTTACTAAGCTTACTAAAACTTGACTGGAGGTAAATTCTGATGTAATTGGACATACACTTCAGACATGATAAATTTCATGTTCCGTTTGTGTTGCTATCAGTCAGAGATACATTGCAATGCCCTATGCTGTAAAAGTAGGTCATACTGCATGCTGAGAATAGCTGGGTCATTTAGTGCATAAATAACAAATGCAATGGTAGAAAATATTGGTTTTCATATTGCATCCAATCAACAGCAAAAGCAGCAACTACGGTAAAAAAACAACAAACAGCAGCAAGAAAAGTACTGTAACAGCAGCAACGTTAACAGAAATTTAGCAAATCAGAACAACAGCACCAGCAATAGCAGCTGAAACAGTAACAGACACAACAGTAGCAGAAGGGAACAATCGACAAAAACAGCAACAGCAGCAGACAATACAGCCAGTGGCAGCTCTAGGATATAATTTATGGGGGGGGGGGAATCTGCCGGGGGTGGGTATAGGAGGGGGTGTCCCCTCCCTCCCAAAACAAGAATTTTGTTTAAAACTGGGACTTTTAGATGGCCGGAAATGGCTGGGATGGGAAAACTAGGCCTATTTTTTTTTTTTTTGGTCCGACTGCCCCACCTCCTCCCGGCTGGCACCGCCACTGAATACAGCATCAGCAGTACATTACAAAGATTGCATGTTTGTTGATCACCATGGGCAACTGCAATTTTGGCTTGTTGCCACCACGTAGGTTCCCATAGTAGTGTAGGACACTGTTTGATTACGACTTCCGTTAATTTGTATGTAGTTTGTCTGTGTTGATCAATGTTAATAAATGAACAGTCAGTCTAGACGCGTACAGATTTTAGGCGTATTCAGACAGGGGTGGCGCCAGTGGGGGGGCCACCCAGTCAGGGAAAGCTGGCCCCCCCCCCATGGAGAAAAACCACAATTCGTTGGGGAGAAATAGAATGTATAAGTATTTTCTACAAATTAGTAGACTCTAAAATCGATTTAAGCCTTTAAAAACCCCTAAATTGTCATATTTTTCGGGGCTTCGTCACCTGTAGCGCTTTCGAGTGATTTGGACGACGCCCGATCACACCCACTTTTTATCACCGGGGACGTCGGAGGCCCATCGGGGAAATCCTGGCGCCATCCATGTATTCAGGATGCGTCCGACGCGTCTAAAATGTCCATTATTTATGGGCTGTACTGTACTGTAGCAGAAGGGACCAATCAACAAAATAGTACACAATTAAACAAACATTTCACATCATACAGGAGGGTCCAACAACACAAGCAGAAAGGACAGTAAGGCATTTAAATCTCACACAGCCCAAATTGGAAAGAAACCAAACTTTATTTATAAAAAAGAAAAGTCTATAAAAAAAAAAGTCAACATACCTCCTCTAAAAACCGCCTAAGATCATGGTTTATTTTTGACCCGAAATTTGCCTGACTTATTTTTGGAAGTGTTTGTAGAAAATCACTTTTCCAACGTTGCCAATATATAATAAAACCTCGAGACTTTGGCTGTAATAAAACTGTCCTTTCTTTAGTCACATCTACTCCTGGTAACAAATATTTATGTGGTCTGCATATAGTAAGGTAAGTTCTGATAAAACAATTATTAGTAGCAGGAGACAGAGGCATCATTTTGAAGCACTTGCATATAATTTGCGGCATTTTTGCAAGAATTTGTGACATTGTGTGGGCTTGAAATTGATGAATAACTTAAAGTACTGGCTTAGCGTTCATTGCTTCTTACTGTTGCACAAATAGAAGACAATGCATCCGGCGATGCCAAAAACCCGCCTTGCGAACTGCCAATAATTGCATTGGAGATGTTGATAGTAGAAATCCTTATAAAGCTAAAGTTGACTGTTCCTGCGAAGAGAAAGCAGTTTAAATTACAAACATTGCAGACCTTTGAGCATAATAATACTGCATAATACTAATTGAATTGAATTCAATTTATTCATATTTGATTTGACAGCAAAGAGAAGAACTGCATCAGATTCACAATCAAGTTTCAATACAATAAAAAGACCTTACAATCAAAAGCAACAATACAATTTAATACACAAAATACAATTACTAATTTAAATATTGTACAACAGGCCAAGCCATGGGAAAAAATTTGTTATTTTTCAAAATTTATTGATAATTATTGAACATTAAAAGAAAAGAATTAACTGCCTGAACAGATTGCAAATAAAATTAATTATTAAATATAAAATATAAAAAATATGGCATATTGCAAGTTTGAAAACTTCACAAACTTTACAGTTGAGAAGTGAGGGGAAATAGGTCGAAGTTTATCGATGGATGCGGGAGTTTCTTTTAATATAAGCATAACATTGGCATCTTTCCGAATTTGAGGGACATATCCCTCTCTTAGGGAACGGTAAAAATAACGCGAATAGGCGTGGCAAATTCCAACCCAAAATTCTTTTATAAGTTTGGCAGGGCTTTTATCTGGACCAGTGACTTACAGTATTACTTTTAACCTTACTAAGTTTTGCATACATTTCCCAAATTTCTACTGAAGGGGGCTCATTACATGGCATAATCTAAGGGTGGGTAGGTAGTTTATCTCTACAGAGTCGGGGTCTGCTTTGAGATACTTTTGAAAACATAGAGTACTACAATGTTACGTCACGATACCATGTGATACTACTCCGTTGCTATCGTTGCAAAATGCGTTCAACCAGACGCCATTTTCTCCACTGACAAACCACTGATCCAAATTTCTAACGTAATTATTAAGATGTTGTATCTTAGTTATTCTTTGTAAATTTTAATTTGATGATAAAATGTTTGTTCGATAACTAATATAGTGCGAGCTTTTGTGTTTTCAGTAAATTTTGATGGTGAAATATTAAATTTTAAAATGCCTATTTCAGAAAGGCTACGAAGTAATTCAGGCGGAATGAACCGTAACCAACTTCTTTTTGGCAACAGAGGGCGCTACCTGGCGTTGTGACAACACGACTGTGGTACTCTATAAGGTTGATTGCTTCAATGATCGCTTCATCATTCTTATCAATAGTGTCTGGAACACTGGTGTCAGTGTTCTCCCAATTGAAAACATTTTCACTGGTATTAGTCCATAAAAATTCAGCAATGCGCATACTGTGAGGCGTTACCCTTTTTGTGTGGGGTTGAATGACAACACATATTCATAGCCTAGGTATAGACTGGA